CCCTGAGACTCCTCAGAAACAGCTTTTTATTGGGAATTTTCATAGACCAGCTGAAGTGAGTACTCCCCCGATAAAACGGAATTCCCCGTTATGGTTAAGGAGCCGTGCGGCATTTTCTGCCTTTTCCCCTTTTCATTTCGCGTTGCATGCTTCGATTTCACATTAGAAATGCTTTCGATTGGCGATCCCACCAAAAATGTTATAAAAACACAACAACATGTCTTGCATGTCTGCAGTGCAGTGAGTCAAAAAAACGAAAAAACGAAAAAACCGAAAATAAGAGCCAAAATAAGCAAACACGTTTTAGCCATGAACGTGGGACAGGATAGGGTGCAGCAAATGTTGCACGCTGCAAACGAAAGCGAGAAGCAAAAACTAAAAGCTGGGAAAATAACAGAGACAGAGCGGCAAGAAAATTGCAACGAAAGCGGAGAAAGTTTTTTTGTTTCTGCCAAGGCGGCATTTAAAAATTGTATTTATGAACTCGCTGTCTTGTCGGTGTGTGAGCGGTTATGAATGCCTTTGTATGGGTTTTGAATGCAACAAGTTAAGCAAAAACAAAAACAAATACAAATGTAAATGTAAATACAAATACCAGGCCAAAAACCAGAAAGCAAAAGTGAAGTTGCGACGCGTGAATTAGTGCCAGTGAATTAATGAAAGTTTTCAACGTTTACGCTGATTGGATTTGGATTTGCATCTGCCCATTTCGATTTGGCTTTCTTTCACTGGCCAGGAAACGAATAAAGTGATTCAGAAAGCGATGAGTCAAGGTCGGAAAGTGCAAGTCTTTTCGGTTAAAAACGTTGGCGTTAAAATATCTTTTTTGGGCAAATGTCTTAAATTTATTTCTAAAATATATTTATTAATTGACTTTTTCCTGGAATTTACTGATTCATGTTTAAGCAATTTTTGTAATTAATAATAAATCTTTCCCAATATATTCTTGGAAATATTATTCTTAGATCTCAACTTTTTGTTAGCTTAAAATGGCTTTCAAAATGTAAACAACTTATTAATAGCCTTTCAATAGCCTTTTCAATTAGCCTTCATTCTGCAAATAACTTTTATTATGTTACCAAATTCGATTTATTGAGCTATAAAATATATTAATTACTAAATTCATTATTATTTGATTCCCTTCAAAAACCATTTCCGCTGATTCTACAGCCTATGAAATAATAATTCGCATTTAATTCAAGATCTTATGAATTTATTTGTTTTTTAAGCTAAAGTAAAGCTAAAAAAGTTTACACTTTAAGGCAGAAGAACATTCACTACCCAATAATGACACATCATTATCGAATTTCTGATTATTATTCTTAAATATTCGGTCTATGTGTCATGGCTGCTTTTTGGGCGGAAATTTCCAAATGTTTTGGCTGGGCTGTAATTTGGCTTTGGCGGCCTGTGCAACGTTGCGTATGATTGACATTTGTGTCACAGCCACAGTTGCTCGTTCATAGCTATGTGATTATGAATTTTCCGCTCATTGAATGGTATTTCATAATTCCGAATGTGACACCATTAAATAAGTTTAGACAATCGAATCAAACACAGCTGTCAGCGCGATCAACTGCATTGCGTGAGCGACTGAGTTTGCGATGTTTTATGAGCTGTCTGTGTACTTGTGTTCGTTTGTCAATTAGCAATGAATAAAAAATATAATATATATATATATATATATATAAACAAAAAACTGAGTGCAAAGTCAGCTGTCTGTCAGCCGCTGCCCACTCGTGTCGGTAATTTATTTTTAATTAAAAGTTCTAAACAAAACACAAGACATGCGATTCATTCAAGCGCTAATATCCATCCCCCACTCAACTGGCTATCTATAGTTTAGTTTGAGTTTTTCCAACTCAATTGTACTAGGTACACTGAGAGAAATTATCGAAAAGTGTAGTAATTAGTAGTAATATTTAACGGAAAAAAGATCACCTCAGCTGTTTGTAAAGTTAAGACTCAGCTTAACAAAAACCTATTGCTATTTTTACCCTCCTAATGATCGTTCGTTTTATTATCCAAAGTATTATTACAGTTTTTAACTTGATCTATAAATATAATACCTTAAGTAATACATTTCTTTATCTGTACACCAACATTTATTGTGGCTTTGGTTGGGGTGGCATCTGTGCAATTATTGGGCGGGGCAGGGTAAGAGTGGGATCAACCTTGATGGGCTTTGTGCGGCAGACAAAGTGAAGACTCATTAGCTGCCAAATAAACTTGGTTTTTTGACCAGAATCGCCAGCCAAACCGGGTGGGGTCTTCTCCATTGTTTTTTTTCGGTATTTTTGTTTAGCTCGGGGGCCAGAGTTCGATGTCGAATTTCGCAAAAATGTAGAAGCTAATGCTGGCATTAGTCACGCCGTCGCATCCGTTTGATGGCTGCTTTGTTCTCCGCTGGCCGGAGATTAATCACCTGCCAAAATGCTGCACAATTTTCGGGCATTATGTAAGCAGCTCGTTGGAAGTTAGGTAAACAGCCAGCTTAGAATTCCCCAACCCATTTCGCAGTTGATTTTCGACAGGTCGCAATACCAATTTGCCAATTGTCGGAGCTCCAAAAAAGAAGGAACACTTAAGTCGAGTGACTCGACGATAAGATACTTGGTACTCAGCTGGCCAATGCTGAAATCCCAATTTATATAGTTACTAAATCTTGAAGATTATAAATACAGTTTTCTTCCATCTGCTACATACTTTTCAAGGAATATAATAAACCCTTATATTGTATGATTAATGGGTGTACGAGGTGTGTTCAAAAAGTAAGGTGACTCTTCAAATTTCGCGAATTTCAAATTTTTCGATTATCGATTTTTTTGTTTTGTTATATTGGTACACTCTTCCCTAACATCTGTACCAAGTTTCAATGGAACATCCTCTTTTGTTTGGTTGTGAGAGGCGTAAAGTTACAAGTTGTTTTGCGAGCTCGGCGATTTTTTGCTATCGAAAAATATGGATCAAAGGATTTGGATTTTTTGGCCAAAAACAACACCACAATAATGCCTCAGCCACCATATTCACCGGATTTGGCCCCATGTGACTTTTTCTTGTTCCCAAAACTGAAGATAATCGAAAAATTTGAAAAATTTGAAATTTGAAAAGTCACCTTACTTTTTGAACACAACTCGTATAACTTCTAAAAGGTTTCGATAATCGAAAAATTTGAAATTCGCGAAATTTGAAGAGTCACCTTACTTTTTGAACACACCTCGTAAAAAAGACTGTTTGCCCGTTGACAGAGGGGAGAACCGTTTCTGATGCCCGTCTTGGGTTTAGTTGGCCATTGGTTTTGGCCCGCTTCGCTCAACTTGGCTCAGTCGCAGCCGAAAAGATCGTGTATATGACCAAAATCAAATTAAAATTCCACAACGCATGCCAAGTGGCGGCGGCGGCGATGGCAACAGCAGCATAGCTAATGCCAAGAAGTCGCACAGGCCACAGACCAAAAAGCAATGGCCAGGCCGTAGTTCCCAATAACACAACCGAAGTCGATTTGGTAGGATGTATACACCCTTCGGTGAACACTCTATTCTGGCTTGGAAAAGAATACTACACTTAGATTTCGAGAAATTTTAAAAGTAAGAACCTTGGTTTATACTTTAAAAATAAGAAATAAATTATTATTAATTATTTTAAACATAAAACAGGATTTATAGATTCATCAGCATTTAGGATTATTTTTAGGAACATATTTTTGCCTTCATAGCTTAACTTCTCCAAATTAGACTCCCTAGTTAATCATCCTTTTGTTAGTATATAGACCGAATGATAGGCGCAGCCTATCGGATCCGATCCGATCCAAACCGTCTGTGACTGTGGCCAAAATGGCAGCGGACGGCTGCTTGTCGTTTCATTGAAGGCATCGCAGCGACGTGACGAGACGCCCAAATGGGTTGCACAGTGTTGTACAATCCGGCAGAATAGACGACAAACGAAAAGTGGAAAACGCAGAGCGAGAAAACGAGAAACGGCTTGGCCAAAACAAAGACAAATTGTTAGGCTAAGAAAATAAGAGGGGAGAACAGGGGGTCAAAGTGGCCAAAATGCGGCAACCGGCGGTGGAAGCGGCATCTGCAACTTGTTCTAGCCGCCTTGCCGCTTGCCGCTTGAGATGGCCAACCTTGGCCTAAACTGCCAGCCAATGAACTAAATGTTTGTGAAAAGCAGCAGCAGCCGCAGCAACAGCAACAATGTTTGTTTGCGCTGGCATTGTTTAGTTTACCATTTTGGCAATGCGAAAATTAAACAATTGTGCAAGCAGCCGCTTGTAATTGTTTTGCCCGAATCCGCGGGTCAAAACAGCATGGATTTAGGCCCATTGCTCAATCGGATTTAATGACCAGCTGCCTGGCCGGAGGCGCATAGAACATAGAAAACCTCGGGGCGATTAGTTAATTAACAAGTTAGCTTAGAATTGCAGTATAATATCGCTGATTTCGGTGAACCAGTTGGGCAAAGGAGCTTTTTAGCTAGCCAACTGATTAATGGCCCAGAGAGCAGCCTCGTTTCTCAAGATGTTCATGTTGCCGCCGATGGCAAAAGATGCTGTTTGCTTGTTAATACCGCAAGATGATGATGGCGATGATGATTGTGGCCGAGTGAGTCGGCCTTACCCTAGGCAAAGTTCGCATTCCAAACGGGTTTCGTGCTCGTTGCCTTAGTCGCATTTAATTTCCATTTCGAGATTTGTTTTTCCAATATTTGTCACGATCTGGCGTCAAGAATGCCAGAGCCCAGGCACAAGCTACACTGCAATGAACATTGATAAGGAATCGAGGTCGATATTATCACGAAAAAATTATATTTCCATATCGAATTAAGAGCTTGAGGAATGGAATTGCAAATCTGAAAAGTATTTACATTTGGTTCTAGATTTCTTTGCATAGGATTGACGATTTATCCACAATATGTTACTATTATTTTTTAACGTGTACTAAAAATATGCCAAGCCATCATTCTAAGTAAATATTTTTCCATTCATCTGCTTACAGATGCGGTTGGCGATAAACCCACCACTTACAGGCCCTCGGGTGCCAACCGACCCTCGATTGCACCAGTCAATTCCGCTCAGGATCGTGAGAGGAAGCTGATGAATGTGCTGGCGGCCCGTCGTACAGCTCTGCACAGAGGTGGCTTCCGCACCAGGATAGGCACCACTGGACGAAGTGCCATTTCGCCATCGGCGGCAGTAGAGAGTACTTCCAAGGCACCCAGTGATCCAAGATCTGTGTGCATTCGGAATTGCACCAAGAACTTCACTCGCCGAACCACCGCCAGTTGCATGCGACAATGTGCCAACTTCACCCGCATGGCAATGGCCTCGAGTGGCAATAGTTCGGTGGTGGTAAAGAGCTCTGGTTCCGTTAAGGCAGCCGCTTCTGCTGGAGATCGAGATACCAACGAGATCCTCTTCAGTGATGAGTCCTCCCATGGACTCTTTGTGGTGGCAAAGGAGCAAAATGCCACCGTGAATCATATTGGAGATGGTACCAAACCTCCAGTGATGGGTAAGGGTATACCCAGCAAAACCAACTCAATGGAGGACGATGCTGAGGAGGAGGAGGATGAGCTTAAGCCATATGTCTACTTTGGAGCCAAATTACCGCCCATTCGTCCAGGTGGCTTGACCATTAAAGCTGCTGAGGGAGACGATGAACATCCGCGCGTGCTGGAGGTTTCTGTGGCACAGAGCACCACCACCACCACGCTTACCACATCTAGCACCACACCTGCCCCAGTTAGCACCAGCAGACCCACTGCCTCCACTCGAAGACCATTAACGCCTGTAGAAAGAAGTCGCAGCAAATACAAGTACCATATGAGGGAAAGGGGATTGGTACCAGCAGCTGCCCCACCAGCACTGGCACCACCTGCCCCGCCTGTGAGTCGCACGAGGTATGTGGGTTCAGGGAGACCCACAGCTGGACTGGCAGATTCACTCCAGGAACTCAAGGATACCGAATCGGAAGTTGCCAAGCCGGTGGTGCGTAGGCTGGTGCAAAAGGTATCACCCTCATCTTCGACACCACTGATTATCACTGTACTGAGTGCAGAGGAGGAAACCACAGTGGGGCAGACGGAAGTTCTTCCTACAGAAGAAACCACCACAACGTCGACCACAACAACGGAGAAACCATCCACAACAACAAGTACCAGTACAACCACAACGACGACAACAACATCATTACCGAGCACCACAAAGAGAACTACTACTACCACTCCATCAACGACGAGCACAACGACCACAACCACTACAACGAGTAGTACCACACCCAGCACCACCACCACAAGCAGCACTTCAACCACTGCCATTCCCACCACAACGAAAGTCAACTCCATCATAGAAAAGGACAAAGAGCTCATCAGAGCCTTGGGACCAGCATTGACCCAGGAGATAAACATCGAGGATGCGAATAACTTGATCATATTCTGCAACAATACCTCCGATTGTGGGGTAACACCACGCACTCAGACTCAGCAATCTCACACCACCGATTCCAGTCCAAAGATCTTGCGCACCACTGTCCTGACCTCGATAAGATCCACTGTGCATCCAAGGCCCACTAGCACTAGTACGAGTACCACAACCACTACACCTACACCAGTGACAGTACCATCTGGTGAGGTCTACATAGGTGTTGTGGAGTCATCTTCTTCGGTTCCTCCCTTGGACATTAGCTCCACGGTGATAGCCAATGAAAGGGATTTGAATCTTGAGATGAGACGAATGAATCTGGTCACCTTAGTTCTGGTGGCCGTGGGAGTGATTCCCTTAGCTGCCATTATCCTCTATTTAGTGCGCAACTACGTGGTGCGACGACGGGCCAAGCAAGGTGAGGTTTTCGACGTTTGCATCACAGATCAGCAGCCTATAAGTCCAGTGAAGAAGGTGGACTCCAAGTACCAGGTGGATGATGATGATGATGAGGTGGATCATCCGCATCACCAGCACACGCAGCAGCATCATCAGCACCACCAGGCCATGCCCATGTCACAGGCGGCTCAGCGGGATGCGAACCACAACAGATATAGTAATAATGATGACAAGACATCGTTGGCCAGTGAGTTCCAGGAGTTCGAAAGGAGTAATATTCGACTGAAGAGTCTTCTGGGTGAGGGAAACTTTGGTCAGGTGTGGAAAGCAGAGGCTGATGATTTGAGTGGACACTTTGGAGCCACTAGAATCGTGGCAGTGAAGACAATCAGAGCTTGTAGTGCCCAGGTGAGCCTCAAGGACGAGGCCAGCATAATGCGCAAGCTAGGCTCCCATCAAAATGTGGTTACCCTACTGGGAGCCTGTGTGGAAAGTGGTGAGTACATGAACTATATCTGGAGAATCTTCCATTAATCCTCGATTTATTCTTTCCCTATAGAACCCCACATGCTTATTATGGAATATGCCATGAGGGGACGACTTCTGTCCCTTCTGAGAGCAGCTAGAAGTGCCACAAACATATTGCCAGCCTCAGTGCCAGGCGGTCGAAGTCTGGCTCCCTTATCGCCACGCACCTTGGCAGGGTTTGCCTTGGATATAGCTTGTGGAATGGAGTACATAGCAGGCAGAAGGGTAAGATAATTTAATAATTTAATTCTTTATATATATATTACTTATATTATCGCAAATCCAGGTTGTCCATCGAGACTTGGCTGCTCGCAATGTGCTCCTCGATCACAATGGCATGTGCAAGATCTGTGACTTTGGCATGTCCATCGATCTGGATGCAGAGCGATTACGCAAGGAGCAGGAGAAGAATGCAGCCAATGATCTGATGCGCCACAATGCCCACAAGTTTAAGTTTGACTTTGGGAGCAGATACATCCTCCAGCACTGGCAGCACACCTTTGGCCAGGGTCAGGGTCACTGCTCCAAAGATCATCCGCATGGAGAGAAGAAGTCACACCATGGTCACGATACCATTGGCAAACGCCATGCCCTGCCCATAAGATGGATGGCTCCGGAGAGCCTGCAATACCATATGTTCACCACCGAAACAGACATTTGGGCCTTTGGCATCGTCCTGTGGGAGATTGCCACTCTGGGTAGGTTTTTTGGGTTTGGTTACAAAGAAAACAAAATCAGGAAATCCAAACTCTTTGTCAGAATCTTCCGGCTAAAAAACAGCTGGGTTAAGATTAATCAGCACTTAAGTTTTTACTTTGTAGATCATTAATTCTGATGCAAAAAAGTGTATATACAAGACTTCCCCTTTGAAGTTTTTTTGAGTCCAGCACTTAATTTATTTATCTAGATAGCCAAAAACGTTTACATTGATCAATTTATATCAAGAATAATAAAATGCTTGAAAGAAAGACAATCAACCATCAATTCAAATTAAAAAGACAATAGTATATTTTAATGGCATTAATCTTTCAAAGAACCCGATACTGTCCAGAATTGCACTTAATTAAAGCATCGATTCACGATTCTTTGATGAGAATATTCAAGTTGAAGTTGTGGTTAACTGTTCTTAAAGCCCATTTACATTTCTCTTTTTAAATTCACAACGATTATCTTGATTGCGCTTTGTTTGGTTGTCTTACGTTGGTAATTAAAATCTTAAGCTTTCTGTTTGATCAGTTGAAGTAAATAAGAAATGTTAGCCCAGCTGACAGCTAAATTGAAAGGGTCTTAAGTAAACATAGTTAATAATATAGTAATACCTATTAATTTGATTATTTTTCTATATATCAGGCTCTACGCCGTACTCCCAGCTAACGGGACGCGAGGTCATCCGCCGCGTGCCACAGGGTCTGAGACCCGATCTTCCCAAGGAGAGCCGGCACGAGTTCTACAACCTGATGTCCCGCTGCTGGCACAAGGAACCGCACATGCGACCCTCATTCGCCCAGTCGAGGCTGGAGATCACCAGGTCACTGCACAAGTGGGTGGACGATGATTCGGCGGCGTCGGATTACATGGACGTGAGTGGGTTCAGTGAGGACTTGGAGCATGGAGTGGTTTACTTTAACCACCGGATCTCGGAGTTCGAATGCGAGATATGACGCTGACTGAACCAACCCATTCCCGGTCCATGACCCTTCCTCCAACTAACTGTGCATCTCAGCCACTGCATCCACAACTCATCCACCGCCCCACATCATCGCTTTTCTGCCCATCTTTAGTTCTTTCGAAATTCTCTCCTTACTTGATGACGTGCTTGTCGAGCAGTATTATTTGTATTTTATTGTTAATTTTCCATTTCGATACCCAAGAAAGTTTCTGTCATTGTAAATATTTATTTGTTGTTAAAAAACAAAACACGAAAAATGCTTATGATTTACGATCTAGGGCTTATGATTAATTAATGGCGCTACACCTATGCCTAGTTTAATATTCGTCACTTAGTTCTTCTAGTCTGTATCTGAAAATCCCATCTTCGAGTTGAGCTATTTCCCTTGGACGTAGCCAAGATTTGACTGCACAAAAGGAAACTTTGTTATTCCCCCTCCCCATCAGTTGTGAAAAATGAAAATCGTTGATTTAGGCGTGCAGCGCATAGGATCTATGTAATTGTATTGATATCTAGCTATAGAATTGTACAAATAAATTAATTAAACACGAAATATAATTATGATTATTACACCAGCTGGAATGTGTTTTTATGAAGTGGAATTTAAAAAGTTAAACATTTGGAGAGAGAGATTTTCTATAATCTAAAACTTCACTTTATACATTACTTTAGTTACTAATAGTTAATCTTTAACTTTATCTTCTCGACTTATTTTTTAAATTTTTTTGGGCTTAAGCTCTGTTAAGTTAACATTCAGAGTAGGGTCTGTAAGCTTTTCTGTTAACTTCAGTATTTATGTTAGCTTAACATTTAAGCTTTCAACTTTTTCTTCTGGTATGGCATCTCTTCAGCAGCTCAAAAAAACTAGTTCCGAAAACCTAAGCTAACCGCTAAAATATTATTTAAAAACTTTATAATATTTTCAAAAAAAGTTCTGACACTATAATTTATAAGCCTTAAACTTTGTTAAAACACTTTAACTATTAACGCTTTTTAAAGTATCTAAAAGTCTTATTTTACTTCAAGATTTTTTAATTAATATTTATTTTAGCTTACATTCGAATGTGTCATAAAGCCTTGATAAAATTATAATCAGGTATATATTTTCCGAGCGATATTTTATGCAAATCAGCAGCGGGTACTTCACAGATTCGTAAGGTTAACTCATATCCAAGACTAGTGAACCCTAAACAGACTAAATTAAAAACCGGAATTGCTGCGGGCAAAGAGTTTTCATCGGACAAAAATAAAAGGCGTAAGTATGCATAATTATAACTTATATGGTATGTCTTTTGAATATTAACCTGAAATGCAAAACTTAAAAGGCAAACCTGATACTTTTCAATGTCAATGTTCTTGTGCATTCGATTGAATATTCCAAAAAGTTAGTGACTACTCCAAAATGCATGCCCTAAGCAGACTTCGAAGCTACACTTTTCACCCCGACAGGAAAACATAATTCAGAAAATAAAGAAATAATATAAAAATAAAAATAAATATAATTTGCAAATTAGCCAAGTGCATCGGCAGTTTTTATGGTCAGCCAGTTGGCCAGTCGAGATGAACGCCGGTAGCGGAAAATCTTGCAATTTTGCAGCGAGAAAAAATCATGGAAAACCAAGTGCAACAAAGTTGTGTCAGCGGAGGACACTTTCGGACATGGTTGCTTGATTGATGACGCTGCAATTAAACACACGTCCAGCGATGCGGTAATCTCGACAAATGGACATTAAGATAAAATGCGTGGAGGCTGGAAAACATTGCGTGTAAAATGAAAATGAAATGAAAATTCAGCTGGTGCCGTTGTGCCGCTGTGGTTACCAACGAAAGTGTGAAGAAAATGCTCTTTAAGTGGTCATTGAAAGTGCCACAGGAGCCGGAGGGAGGAGGCACTTGCCACTGCCCTGGAGCAATTCAGGCGATAGTTTATGGTTTTAACCAATGATGAAGAAATAACAATAAAGCGCAAAAAAGCGAAACGACAAAGGCACGAACTCAGTCGTTAATAGTCTGCAAGTCAAAGTCATTGCACAGTGGGGTGCAAAGCAATGAAAAGCAATTAACTTTTAGTAGGTTTAACTAAGTCGATGTCTATTGAGTTGATAGACTTAAGATCGTATACTTCTTTGATGAGTCTCCATGATTAATCTGTTTTATAATGAAGACAATATGGATTTACCATTATTTTCGGTTTCCAAAACCCAATCACAACATTTTATATTCTTATACTTTTTGTTTTATTATAAACTAATTTTGTCCCACTGCTCAGTGGCTGACAAATAGGCGGAGGCGCTAACAACCTGCCCAAAGTTGCCACCGAGGGCTGTTTTTATGAAAAACGAAAGTGCCGAGGCTGTGAAATTAATTTTGTTTCCCGAACTTAAGGGGCTGACCCTCGCGGGCGGGCGGAACGCCCAATGAAGCGGTCAAAGTGTTTTTCGTGGCTAATGATGCCGATAGAAAGCAGTTAAAATACACAGCTTTGCATGCTTCCGTTTTTCGGCGATTCGCTTCCTGACCCACTGCCAAAAACAAATGACTTAAGACACGAACTTGGCAGGTGAGTCTGCTCCAAAGCCTGATATATGGGCAAACTTCCGCTTTAAGCGATAATTGATTTGCATGTTGAATATGCAAATCTAAGCCAACTAACGGGTTAATGAACTTGCGAACTGCACAAGAAATGCAATTTGCCGATGCGCATTTTCAAAGCACAAGCACGCAGCAAAGTTGGATTTACTGCAATGGGTCCAGAACGCCAACTGAGCCAAAGGCGCAGCCGCCACACAAACAGCAACAGCAGCAACAACAGAAACCGCAGCAGCAGCAGCAGTACCAGCAGCAAGAGCCGCAGTTAAAGAAGCAGTAAGCAGCAGTTGAGGCAGCAAATCAGTCTGCGGCGAGTGTTGAAAGCGTTCAGACGTAGCAGGCGGAAAAAAGCTGGCCCAAAAGCGAAACGAAGGTGAATGCCAAGGCACTAAGCCATCAAGAAGTGTGGCAAAGTAGAAAATCTGTTAATTAAGGCGCGTGTGAAAAGTGTGAAAATCAGCATACAGACTGAAAATCCGCAAGAGCCATAAAAAGTGAAAATTATCTGTTTAAAGTGGAGTGGAATGGAAACTCGATTCTTGCGCCGCAACAGGAAATAATTAGTGACTAAAGCTAAAAGTCCAAGCTCCGCAGAGAGAAGAACGGAGAAGGGAGTGGCTTGGAGAAGAACAGTGGACTGAAGACGAGCTGATCTGAGGTGATTTCTTGAGCACAGCCTCGTTTTATAAGTTAATCATAAAAAAAAGAGCGCAAAGCGGAGAACAAGAAACAAAATCGAAATTGGAATTTTAAAATACCATTTTATTTATGTGTGTGTATTTTAGCCAAATATGTGAAATGGAAACAACTTTCTAAATGAAAGAAAACAGAAAAACAAAAACAAAAACGCTTACACACAACACCAACAACAACAACAGCGACGCACAAAAATTTGAATTCTTTTTATTCTTTACGCCCGAGGAAATTGTGTCAGTCCGAGCTGTTTAAGGTGTGCGTGTGTGAGTGTGTGTGTTTATTTTTTTATGAGTTGCCGCTTTTCGGTGATCGTCAAGTTTGTGCCTTAAGTCTTTCGTTTAGGGCCCGGCAAATTGGTTTGGATTTTATATGAGCATAGGTTGGCAACCTGGTCGAAGGTGATATTGATCCCCGCAATCTGTCTAATGGAGCTCGACAGCCGTGGTTAGTGGTTCAGCTGGTTCGCTTACTAGGTTAGTCGGTTATCACCTAGTTGCTTCTGAGGCTGCTTAGTCTGCTTAGTAGGATTCTGCGGGAGATTGTCAGTGCGACTTTCTTGCTCTGCGCTTCGCTTTCAGATGTTTCTTCTCTGATTTGCAGCACTTTAATTTGTTTCTGCAATTCGTTTCGTTTGTTTGTTTTTTTACTGTTTGTCTGTTTTTTTTTTGTATTTTTTTGGACTGGCCCCGTTTCGTTGTCTGCGCAACGCACGCAAATTACAAGTTAATTAAAGTGGCCAAAGAATTCACTGAGAGATTGCATGTGAGCTGGCTGCAGCATCTGCAAATGCATCCCATTCCCCTTTTCGTCTGCAATTTGTATTTACTTTCTTGCAAATGGCACCCACGCGAAATTACTGGAATGCCTGGGAACCGAAATAATTGATGGCATATATGGGAAACGGCTGCGACTTATTGGCTTAATTTGATTTATCGTACCGCGTCGCTTTCTCACAGTCTAAGAAAAAAAAATGAGTATCTATACACATATATGCAAAGGCCAAACACAAAACCAGAAGCGCCGCCATCTCTCCCTCTTTTGTAGGATCCATTAGCTCGGTCTCCTGTGCAGGTGTGCGAGATAAATTAAAGACATGGAGCCTGCTCCATGACAACGGCAGCATCCTCACGTTCGTGCATCGCAAACTGTGCGCATCATTTCATTCAATTATTTGCCTTGGGTGCCTGAAAAGATGCGCATCTTGCCAATCCCCACCAGCCCACGTCCGCCATAAGTTTTCATGCTGGCCTTGGCAGCCTTTTCTAAACTGTCAACTGTTTGCCGCCGCTGCCGTTGTCGAACCAGCCAAATTTTCACTTTTCATCTGCACAAAAGGTCAAAACTTCGTTGCAGCTGGTATGGCCATAGCCTCGGAGGAGTTTTCTTGGCTTGGGTGTTGTTAGCATTCAGATTTGTTTGGCTCGGCTCCTTGGGGTGGCCAACTCTAAATAAATAACGAAGCCAAGAAAAGAAAGAAAGACTTTCCTTTGCACCGAACTTTTGAACATTTGCATAGATGAGAAGTGAAAACCAAGTTCATAGAGGGAAGAGCTCTTTTAGCCTGACTAATGTCTTCATTATGAAGATAGGAAGTTAAGGCCCAGTCAAATCAATCATATGACCTTTTGTTTGGCCTGGCTTATTACCGCAAAACGGCCAGTTTAGACAAGAGTCATAACCCCTTACGAAAATAGTCATAAAAATAGGAAAAATAACAACAACCAGAGCGACTTTTGTGCTTCACGCCTTGTTGGGCAGTCAACTGAGATGACAGTGAAGATCATGATGACGACGACGATGGCTGAGTGCGATTACCTAAAGCCGGAGACGAGACTGCTGTAATAGCCTGGCGGAGAGCATGGATAGTTATGACTACCGCTCCACAGTCGTAATACTTTACGCTCATGTTAATGACTCTTACTTTCGATGGAAAGCCGAAAATCAGTGGTTATGAATTGCCATGCCAAATTGTACTAAAGTCTAAGAATAAACTATAAACTGTTTTTTGAAAGCGTGCGAGTGTCGGGTGAAGGCATAAATAAACAATTAACCGGCTGTCATTGTTTCGTTTGTTATTTAGAAAATTAAATCCAACTTAATAACCGCCAGTGACCGCCCCCCTTCATTAACTTTCGTTTGCCCTGTCATTTGCAGACGGCTGCTGAAATTAAAAACAAAAGCCAAGAAATATAAAGCCAGAGTGAAAATGAAAGCTGGCCGCGCCTTTGGCTGCCTTTTCTGGGCCCTGCTCTATTGTGTGCTCTATCTGGATCTAGTCAGTGGAAATTCCGCCGACGATGAGTTAATGGACTTCGACTTTGCTGACTCTAAGGATATGGCTCCGGATGACTGGCAATTGGATGATCTAGAGGAAGCCCAACAGGCGGAACAAGCTAACAAGAAGTTGGAGTCCAACATGCTGGATTTCAGTGTTGATCTGGATGAACCGGAGCCGGAAAAACAATTACCACCTTTCGACTGGCGGGAAAAGGTTCTCAGGAACGCTCTGGCCAAAGCCTTGTCGAATGAGGAACTGCGTCAGAAGTTTGTCGAAGTCATGCCCATTCTAAGGGTTCTTTCTTCCCAGCAGCGTTTGGCTCTGTCGGCTTTGATTTCGGCTCAAATGAATGCCAAGAAGGGCCATGAGCTCAGGTTTGAGCAGGTGAGTTTTAGAAAGCTTAATTTTGTAAAGATTAAAGTTAAGAAACTTATTTGATTTATAAATAGTTTTTATTATAATAAATGATTTGATGATTTCTTTAGGTTCGCATGATGTTTGGCAATGACAAGAAGCTGCTTCTGCCTATAGTCTTTGACATCGCCAATCTCATTAAGAGTTCCACTCGCAAGTACATTAACTTGGACTCTGATCTGGCCTCATCTGCCCTTTTCCATACACCCATCAATCGTCGCGGAGATGATTTGACTGCAGAAGAGTCTCAGCATGATGACCAAGTGGGCACCATTGCCATTGATGTGGAGTCAAAGGAGGCCTCCGCTCGGGAGGAACAACCGGAATCTCTAGAGGATTTCTTCGATGAGATGGGGGCAGAAATGCTGGATCCTCAGATGATAAATGAAGCGCTAACGGGCGATCTCCATGAAAATAAAACCAACTCGGCGAAACCAGAAAGTCATGGCCAAAGAGTTCGGCGTTCGGCTAATGAGTTTGTCCACAAGTTGACTCGATCCGTGCCTGCTTCTGTGACTGAGCAGCAACTTTTGGGTGGCATTGCTGGACGCACAATTAAACTAAATACCACAGCTTTTCAGCAGCCAAGTAGCCAAGAGGAGGAGCAGGTTGCATCCTCTAATGATGGCCAGTCATATGCTCAGGTAGAGGATCTCGCTTTTGCTGGTCTTAATGGCACAGAAATCCCATTAAGCGCTGATGAGAGATTGGACCTTCAAAGAAACAGCGCTGAGGATACAGATGAACCTCTACCAAGTCCCGAGGAACTAATTGCTGGACCTCGGTATCGACTGGGAAAGCGACCACTGCCTGGTCAAAAATCTGCCGCACCCATTAAACGTAAGAGGGTCACATCCTCTGTGAGGGGAAGACCAAAGACCGCTGCCAGTTCCCACAAGCCTGTGGTAACACCAGCTCATAAGAAATGCGAACGATTCACCAGCAACATGTGCATCCGCACCGACGACTATCCGCTGTAAGATCCCTGTAGCTAGTTGGTGAGCGGTTCTCCCAGGGTCCTGGTTCCGGTCCATAGTCCTTAGTCCTAGTTTAGTCCGAATTTTAGTCGTAATAAACAGTAATTTATTAAATTCACTACTTGCCCAATTATCCCTTTGCACTTATGCTTAGTTACTGGTTTTGGTTAGAGTTGACTTAAAAAGCAGTTGGAAACTGTATCGTCTATTATTTTAAAATCCTAGTGAACAGATCATGGGCAGCATAAGGCGACACAAGAACGCAATGTCCGCTCTTTTGGCCGAGTTTTACGATAGGCCCAATAATAATCTGGAATTCGGAGATGAGTTTGATGACTTCAGCCTAAGCAAAAAGAGGTAAGCGTAATAATACCTAATAATGAAATTTAATAGATTTTTTTCTTATCATTAACCTTTAATCTTGATTTCGATTACAGGCGTGAGGATGAAGGCAGTGCAGGTGGGATGTGCCAGAGCGTGGTACGTTACGCCCGACCTCAGAAGGCCAAATCCGCTTCAGGAGAGTGGAAATACATAGTAAACACCGGCCAACACACGCAAACCTTGCGACTGGAAAAGTGCAGGTGGGTGATAATGATTTTTCACTTTAAGAAAATCCATTAACTTGTTATCTTCACATCGGCAGCAATCCCGGCGAGAGCTGTTCCTACTTGGCGCAGACTTATCGCTCTCACTGCTCACAGGTGTACAATTACCATCGATTACTCAGCTGGGACAAAGTTCGTGGTCTCCATGTGGATATTTTCAAAGTTCCCACATGTTGTTCCTGTCAGGTGGATGGTTATCGACAGCAGTTCCCACCACTCTCCTCTATTCAGGCCAAGGATTACTCTCCCATGAGCAACACCAATGGGAATTCAAATGGATATAGTACCATCAATGAAGAGGATCTGGACTATGCCGATGAAAGCGAGGAGGACGAACTGGGTCTTCGTTATCCCTCTTTCAACCATCGGGAGACCAATGAGCTTTATTCCAGCAGTAACAAGGTGCGAGTGAAGCTGCCTGGTATTAGTACAAGTGTGGGCCCATACCTAAGTCCCCCAGATGATGATGAAGATCGCTACGGTGGATACAAGAGCCCAAGTTCCAGTTCCAGTTCCAAGAAGTATTACAGCCAGGTGAGCCGCCGACGCCCGCAGCAGTCAGAGGCGCGTCTGGACTTGGATTTGGCGCCAAGCGAGACGCATTCGGACCAAGAGGTAAACCTATTTGCTGGCACACCAAACGGCGGTGCAGAGAAGTCTCGTATCCCGCTCAATCGCAAGCGTATTTATGCCTCCACCCACACAGCCCCCACCACCGCAACTTCATCATCATCAGCTGCAGCAGCCTCAGCTGCATCATCATCGTCAGCAGGAGGAGCTCCCGTCCGCCTACGATTTCCACAGACCACAAGTCTACCAGCCCGAACGGGAACCGCTGCCCTTAGCCCGGGATCCAGCTATGTTGCCGGTTACAGCGCCAGTTCTGGCCTCTCCAGTGGTGTCATCTCCAGTGGTGCCCCTGCCCATGCCGCCCATGCCCATCAAACTGGTGCCGTCTCACCACCAGTCGCATCACCAACAGCTGCATCACCATCACCAGGCCGGCAGCAAGGTGGCAGCAAGTCGCGACCCCGCTTCTATGCACCACCAGCCTCGACGGCAGTCCCAGTGGTCTCCGACTCAGCGTCGTCACTTTCGACCGAGCGCACCACTCAGTGGGAGCGGGATCAGTCGACGGCACTACCACAACCGCCGGCCGTCTATCCAGTAGGCTCAATCTTTCCCAGCGGCGGTAGCAACGAGATGTCGGGCAAGAGGATCAACTACAATTACCATCCCATCATTGATTTCTTCGAGAAGAATCGCAGGGCAGAGGCGGCGGCTACAGTTAATCCGGTGGCAGATGAATCCCGCATTGTGGAGCAACGCATATACCCTCAGAATAATCCCAAATCTCAACAAACAAATGGCATGGGCTTGGGCATGGAGAGCATCGCTGGAGTGTACCAACATCCCATACCCGTGCCCAAAACTCACGAACGGCGCATGGGTTACAGGGCAAATGGTGGCGTGGGTGGTGCAGGTGCTGTGGGTGGTGGTGCTGGTTTCGTCAGCGATAATGCCTGGCTGCCCATGGTTGTGGAGTAGGTTAAGTCGCATGAGTTTATCAACCTCAATATCCCTAAAATCTAACGTATTAACGCCGATGCCTTAGCTCGTAGTCTCTGCCGTTCCCGCCAGGAGCTTAATATTGTAGTTTGTCTAGCTCGCTCCTAATCTCAACCCCATATCCACCCAATCCCATCTAATGTTTAACCAACTATGTTTATTTATTTATTTATTTTGTAGTGTGTAGTGCAAACAATATGATATGACCTCGTTGTTGGGGAGGTTTAATTGGTCAAAAGCTTGGTCGACTTGTCGTCAGAGTTTTAGCAATAAATATAATTTATTGAAATATTAAATGTGTTTTTAGTTTGGTTAAATTTTCAATTTGTGGCTTAAAAACCCTGATATAGTTTAGATCTGGGGGAATGTGTGTACTTACAATTTGCAGTCACTATGCTGCTGCAGATTTAAAGGCCTCTGTTATCTGCTGTGAGTGAACAAAATTTAAAGCATCTTTTAGGCGTTTGTAAAAATGTTAACCTAAAACGAATGCGCAATCGTTTTGTCATTAAAGGAGCTGTTAAGTTTTATAATCTCGTAATAAATACAGGTACAACGCTACTAAATTGTATGTTAAAACTCAATTGCATCTCATAAGGTGCTTAAAAACATTTTGACTTATATATAAGTTGTTGCTTAATTAAATTTTATACGATGTTTGTTATAAATTGCTTTTCAAAAATTTCGATGTACGAGTTCATACTTTATTATCACTTTTATTACCTCTTTTTTATTAAACTCAGTTATAACTACGCTTAAAGTGTTATTTATCTTCATTTAAATTAAAAAGCCAAAGAGTTTAATCGCCTAGTAAAAACAACCTCATGAATATATTTATTATTCTAATTTAATATTCCCATAACAGCATAGCAAAAAATGTGAATAAATCATGCCCATCTGAAGATCCCATTATTCCCGAAATCTTTTAAAGCACACAAATTAAATGACCAGTGCATAAATTATTTCACCGTTCGTTTTGCCTTTCGCCCAAATGACACAAATTCCATATCAGCGCCCCTGGCGAAGTTCAAGTTGAGGGTCAAGTGGCGGGCGCTAATGAGATTCGAGACCGCGAAAATAAAAACACTTACCCACACGATTGAAAACTGAATTTAAAACAAGAAACTAGTTTCTGCCGAAGAGCCAGAAAGTTGCAATGTGCCAAACCACCACCACCGATGTGGCGTGCGGTGCGCGTATGCAAAGTGGGTTTCTAAAGCGAAACGAGGCTTTGGCTCCGACTTTGACCAGTTATAACATTGGACGTTGAACGGTGCAACCTGCAACGGGCAACTAGCAACTAGCTACCAGCCACTAGCAACTTGCAACGTCACTTCGGCTGGCCAGTTTCGCTTTCATTTGATGCCGAAGCTAACAAACGACCGATGACGACGACGATGACGACTCTAAAGACATATCTCGTCACGAAAGAAAGAAAGAAAGGCTTGCGGCGCGGCGATCAAACTGGAAAATTGGAAAAACGGCGAGGAAATTTTATAAAGGCCCAATGATAGCACACTTACTGCACAGTTGTCGGTCGAACGTCAAGCGCGAAAGTGAAAAGTTACATTTCCCGGACCTTGGAATATCTAGAGTAAAAGTGCAATGGCAGTGCTCAGGATATTTTGGTGGTTCCTCTTGTATTTACACCTAATTCAGGCCATCAAAGTGGATAGCCTCAGCAAGGAAGGAGGCTCTAGTAGTACACAAAGTCCTCCAGTTTATAGAGTATCTAAGCCTGAACCCAAACATCCCGAAAATAGAGTTCCTCCTCATCTGCAGGACATACGTCCTGGCTATGTGGATGATGATGCGGGCGATGTGATTAGGATTATAGAGCCACCTCAGCATTTCCAGCAGCTAAAGCGTCTGCGTCAAAGACTACCTGCCAATCCACCTGTGGTCTGGGAACAGCCTAGAAAACTGGCCTCCAATAGGCTAAAAATTATACCCCAAGGAGACCTCCTCACTCAGGAAACTCAGGTTCAATATTCAAAACCCAATCAGTTGCAAATTCCAATGGAAATTCTTGCCTCGGTGAGGAAAACAGAGCGTTTATTGAAGCAGCAAAGACAAAATTTTCCACAAATAAGACAACGCATTATCCAGAGACAAAGTCACACTGTATTATCCCAAAAAGCCATCGAGCAAGAGCTATACCATCGTGGCCAACAGCACAGGCTAAGAGCAGTGTTGAGTCGCAATCAAGAGCACAAGAGAAATAAAAGAAATAGGAGGGATCTTCCGGACAAGAAAAAGGAAGTTTACGATGTACAAAAAGGCCTAAAATTAGTGGCTCACATTGGGGATCTGTTGAAAAATGCCACCCAATATTTACCAGACGATGGGGTCACCACCACCAATGAGGTGAAAAGGTCACCAATTTGCAGCAATGCAACCAACTGCGACAATCGGCGACGTCGCCAAAGACTCTTTAAACAGCACGCCAAGTCAGCAGAGCGGGAAAAATTAAAGGAGAGGCGGCGCCACTTCCGGAATAAAGAGGCAACAACCAAAGCGACAACACCAACAACAACCACCACAACAACCACTGGCAAATCGGTGTTTTCAAGTGCCAATTCAGTTGCTGATACTTCCGCAATTCCGCTGGCCAGTCGCCTGGTGAATTCACGCAAATCCAAATCGCCAAATAACAACCGCAACTTGGGCCGCAGCGATGACTCCATACTCTATGCGGATGTGATGACAAACATACGCAATTTGTGGCAGGAGCACGATCTTTCGACGGGACCGAAGTTTATTGCACCTGGCGAGGTGGCCAACAATACGGATTATCGCGCCTTGGATGTGTATCTCAAAGAGCTGGATGATTTGTCCAAAAAGTTACCCACTGCTGCTCCTATAACTGGTCTCAATAAAGAGGAGCTGCAGAGACCTACACCCACGCCCAGTTGGTATTTGATAAACTCGGAGGGAGGAATCTTTGAGACCCGACTGGATAGTCAAACTAAACCCTCTTCATCGCTGTTCCATCGCTTCCCCGACATGCCCTACCAAAATCATAGTGTGTCCACATTGGACTTGGAGTGAACGGTGCTCTTTGAGTGTTTAACTAGTTATTATTTATTTATTTACAAGGAATAAAGTATTATTTATGAAAGGCAGACAAAATAAACTAATTTTCTGTGTTAATTATTTTCAAATTATTTACAATTAATACAAAGTTTTTAGCCCTGGAACTCTTCACCTTACCACTCTCAATGCTACATCTCTGGGGATTCTTGGTGGCCAACCAAGCATTTAACATGGCTAATTACAACAGCTCCCAACTCTCAAGTCACAAGTTCTTGGCTAATGCGGCAATTTAGATAAGCCCAAACTGGCAATTAGCCCCGAGCTCGAGCCCAAGCTGCCAAACGTGCGAAACGCATTGTCCCAAGCCCTGACCCCGCCTAACATGCAAAGTTGTGAGAAGATTTTTGGCAATTAACAGAGATGATAGGGGTACGGGGAAATCAAGTGGCTCAGATGAAGCGGAAGAAAATCAACCTGACCTCTCTTACAAGGGAAATGGATCTCTCGTATATGTCGGATCTCTCACTCTGATGATGCTAGTTTTGGCATCTTGGCTAGTTTTATGGGGATCCCATATCTATTCTTGGAACATTTTCATTTCCACATTCGTTATTTGGCTACTAAACCTAGTCAGACGTTTTTTGGGCGGCATTTTTTTTATGGGATTAGAATGTTGTTCAGCCACTTTGACAAAGAATTATTTAATTTATAGAGCGTGTGTTGGGTTTTTATGATTATTATTTTGTGTGTTGGCGGGGCGAGAGATAAATTAGAGTGGAACGATTGGTAGGGTACAGAAATCGATCCATATTATGTAACCAAATGTATTCCTGGCCTTTAAAGAAAAGAGTAGAGAGGCACTGCCCATTGCGACATTGACCCCACTGATCGTAGCCAGTAGGCTGGGCGGAGTGGGCGGTGGGTGGCAAGAGAAAAACAAGCAAACATAAGTTGGCCCAAAGCATTGTAATTAGTAGTCGGTCATGCAAGAAATAGAAGCCTCCCCCCTTGGCCAATTCAGTGAATGTTTGGTGGGGGTTTTCTTGGTGGATAGATTGTTAGAAGCACACGCAGCTGGAGTCGCCAAAATTGGAGGGGGAAAACCGTTTTTCGTTTAGACAATTGTTTTGTCGCTGCGCATTGATGGCAATACAACGTTGCAAGAATCACTTTTTGGCCATTATAAAAGCCCACTGCACGTTTCCAGCGTCAGTCAGTCAGTTGTTGCAAGCCCCAAGTGGCATTTCCATTTCCAATCCGTTGTTTACCCAAAGGAAATCCGCAGTAAAACCCGCCAAGATGTTCCAAGCCAAATCCGTTTGCCTGCTGCTCGCCCTCTGCCTTTTGGCTATGTTTTTGGCCGGATCTGACGCTCTGCCACGCCCACAGGAGGGACGGGAGGAGGGCGGTGATCAGGAGGCCAATATAGAGGCCGAGGAGAAGGATCTTGAGGGAGCCGCTTCCTTTGGATATGGATACTACTCATCGCCCTACTTGGGTGGCTACTACGGTGGATATTGGCCACACTACAGTGGCAGTTACTACGGAATCGGTAAGACAAGTTGGTGATGAAAAGTGAGAGGACGTTCTCTTTGGATCTAGTGTGTTGTTAGATACAAATACATCCTTACTTGGAAAAATTCAACCCGTATTCATAAACCTATTCACAGGTTATCCCTACTACGGAGGATACTACGGATTGCACGGACACCACCACGGCCACTATGGACACTACTTCTAAGAAGGGTTCTTAAGCCTTTCCCAAATACTTTTCCAGCCTCAGTAGAAGTTTATCAGCACCAGAAATTTACCAGCACTAGCTCGAATAGAAAGAATTAAGTAGAGAAATAGATGCCGACTAAGATAGCGTTAATAGCCAGCACTAGCCTCAATAGCCAAACGATGCGTTCTTGACCGGATGGCGAACAGATTAACTGCACTGCCCCCTTGAGCGAGGATAATTGCTTCAATTAAGCAGAAAATCACAAAAAAAAAAAGAGTACAATCAACTAAATATTACATAAATAAATGTTATACTTTGTACGAATTAATGCCTGCGTGTTTGATGGCTACTGTTGATTGTTTTTATTTTACTCCTCTTAGCGCTGGGTGCTCGTTATTTTATGCCATCGTAAAAACAAACACATGAAGCGCCCAGCTAATTTGCAATTCAAATGAGGCTAAGCCAAACATTGGTTTTATATCGCTGGCCTAATCTAATTAATAGGGGTTTTATTTCAGAAGCAAATTAACTGTACAAATTGGCAAGAACTGAAACTGAAGTTCAGACATAAATGGTCGGCAATAAACGGCAGAAAAGTACGAGTAAGCTTCGGTTATTTGACTCCCGTTGTACCACGCTGCGTATGCGTAATTTATGAGTGGAATACCATAAATCGCTGAAGACGAGCTAACATCATTGTGTAAGCCAAGTGTCTCAGATTCTCAAAACAAGCCCGTTAATCGGCTCTGCCCAAGACTATTTGTCTTGATCGGTTTTTGACAGGCAACAATCGGATATTGGAAGTCAGACATCAAGTCCGAAAGGTCACGGAAGTGACGCACAATGGACATAGAAGATTAACGGCATCGTTGTTGCGACAATAATCGTTTGATTTCACAGTGGAACCTTTGCATAAATTGTGTTGAACTGATCTAAGGTCAATTCGGTAGCCAAGAATCGAAATTCTTCAATTGACCTTTTGCTTTGACGCTTTTCTTCGTGGCTTACAAACGTCAAAATCAAGAACGTTTCATCGATCTTCGATCTGTATTCATATTTCGATGGCCAGCTATGTCTGTAGACAATAATAGCGTTAAATTGGTTATTAAAAGATCGTTTAGCATTTCATTGTTGATCTGAAGCGTGACTAAGCTCAAAATATTGCTTAAATATGATTATTATTTATTCATCAAACTGAAATGACTCACTTAAAGTCTAGAAATCGTTAAAAAATCTTGCCAAAATAGAGGCAAAAACTTGTTTTAATTAGAGTTGGGAGACTTTTGTCTGGCGGCTTTTGTGGCTAAATAAATTAAGTCAGCTGACGCTAACACCGACATTCATTGCACTTTCTCACAGTTCCTGGGTTTTGCCTGTTGGCTTCTCTAGATCATTTCATTTTCTTGGTTCATAAATCACTTTGGCTGAAGACCAAAAAATATCCGGCTGATGATTTGGTTAATTGATTGTTTGTTTTAGGTCATTTTACCCAAAGCACTTTGCATTTCGTTGACGTTTTTTCCCTCTTTATAACTTTCATTAGCCGAAAACGGAGATTTTGGAATTCATTGAAAATCGTTGCCCCATTGTTAAGAGGAAAAACCATTGAAATTGTATCTCAAGTCTTCATTGTTGTTTTTTTTCAGCTGAGATATTGTATCTTGTGTGGTATTTAATTTGGGCAACGGATACTCCAGTTAAGTGCACGAATTGAGCGAAGTTGAGCACAGTGGTTCGGACTGAAAGAGACAATAGGTTTGGTCTGAAAAAATCGTTAGAAAATTCAATTCAAAGGGGAAATAAGGGTAACGATCAATATTTAATATATACAATATATTTAACTTTCGCCCCACTGTACAATTTTTTTGTGATTACAAAAAAACCAACCTAGTAATTTGATTTGTATCCAAGTATTTGCTTGTTTACTCATGCGTGGGCCGCTTTATATCTCAATTAGATGCTAAGACGATCATCATTAGCGGACCCTCTGGCGACTGCATTCGAAATGCAGTCCGCACTTGATGCGATAATAATTTCAGTACAGTAAATTATCAATCTATATGCCGATGGCATTAATTCCTCGTTCCCGTCAGCGCGACGGCTTAAAGGTGTCGCAATCTGGCTTCACCAGCAGCACAAGTCGCTCTGAGAAGTTCCTGCTGCGACAGGTTCGTGTCTTAAGTCTTTCGTCTTTCGTGGAATTAACATGTCAAGCACGTATTTTTTCTGGTTGAACAACAATCCCCATCCGCAATGTTGTGGCAGTCCCGGGAGAGCATTCGATTCTTCCTTGCCACCAAGGTCGCTGCAGCTTAAACGCACTTGAACCGAAATAAGGCACTGAAAAAATCTTTATTTTGACTTACATTTACCTCTTTTTAAAGTTTTTGAATATTAATATATATTCTATATTATTTAATATTAAATATATTAACAATATTTTTATAATTTTGAACACTTTTAAAAATAAAATAAACCCCATGCATTTTTTCAGATTTCAATTAAGGTATTTTCTCCTGAATTCGTCCCTCAAAATTGGCCATTGAACTTGCGTCCAAACTTGTTTTCCCCCCAAAGCTTCTTATCGTTTCTGTGGCAGCTGCTTTTGTGGCGTGGCTTTTGTGGTTTATAGTCGAGGCGACTTGGCCGGATTGTAATGGTAAACATTTTGCATACCAAAGGCATTAAAGTCTTTCGGCTTTGACCTTGCCCAATCCGATCTTCGCGTAGGTGAATAGAGCACAGCAGGGTGTACGAGTGTATGTGCCTTAATGTGTGTGGCATGCTCGACTTGGCAAGAGGCAAGGGCGATCAATTGTGGCAGACCCAACGAAAAGTCCGCTCCAAATGCAACCGACCAGAAACGAGACCGACTAAAGAGAATATCTAGGCTTTGGAGACTGCTCGTTATTTAATTTCCAGTCAAGCTCTTTAATTAGCTGTTAACTTCCGCAACATTTGCGCCAAAGAACGCTTGTCTTGCCAAAAAAAACTAAAAATAAAAAAATAAAACAGAAATACAACCAACTCCCATCCAAGTATTTATTCATTGTGGGTGCGTTCAATGGCTGAAAGTGATTTATGAACGCCTGCTGAGCTATAAATATTTATGGCAATTGTTTCGCTTCGATTTGCTAAGCCATTTTAGGCTTTAATTAAAGTGCTTAGTACTGGGAATTGGACTACGATCTCCATGTCGGAAACGGTTCTCTGACCAGACCAAAAACTAAGTCAAAAGTTTCCATTAGCCATAATCAAGTGCTGACAGGAAGTTCTCATCTCTCGGTTCTAGCCATGAATTATGACCAAGTTACCAGTGAGAAGCGACGAAGCGTTTTAGAAAGGCGAAATCCTGTGTGCCACTAAGGTCACATTCTGGCCCGATCAAGAACCAGAAAGAACCCGTTTACCAATCACTTCCTCCTTTGTAACAGGATCAGCTTGGGATTCCGTTCCATGTGCTGGCTATTAAGCGGGTATTCTGGTTCTCAGCCAACGGATGCCTCGATGACCTTGAGACGAGAGTGCAAAAAATCTGTTCAGATGTTCGCTGCTGTGCCCCGATCTCTGTGTAGGTTGCAATTAAGCTGAACTTGTTATGGTCGCCGGTTTCACTTCGGTTGCTCACCGACGCTGCCTTTATGACCGAAAAAAATGTGCTTAATGAAAACGAACCGACGACGCCCCATCCATCTCCCAGTGCCAGCGCCTCCCCAACTGCCTCCTCACTTTCAGCTAATCACTCTGAAAGTTGTTATAAATTTGTCACTTAAATACATTACAACGATTGGAGCCATTGTCATTCACGTAATTAGATATTGATGAATGGACCTTTGTGGGTGGTTAATTAAAATCAAAGGGGTAGGTTAACTTTTAGAGGGATTTTGTAACATAAAAATATAAAAATATATAATATTTGTAAAACAAAATTGGTTAATAAGTAGTCAGTTGTAAAGTTCTTTCTAACCTTTTTTTAGTTTTTATTATTAATAAATGTTAAAAGTGTGGGAAACCAGTTGAACACACATTTTTAGAGTTTCAAAAACTAGTTTATGTATCGAATCAATTTTTCTGTAAAACCTCTTCATTTACTTAAAAACATTCATAATAATTAAGTCGAACATAATACTTTGGAAAGAGTAATAAAAGCTGCGCCTTGCTGGCTTAACCTTTGATTAGTCATATAAGACTTTTAATTTATTCGCGAATAATTTGTAGCAGTTCGATTTAAACAAGTAGTAAACGTTATGTATTTTGAAACACACATTTTTTGACCCTTTGAAATAAATCTAGCTTAAATTTTATAAGCTCGTGTTTGTGTCATTTACCTTTTGATTTTGATTTTTATTTATAGCCAAACCCAACTCCTAAATTAAAGAGTATGACAGACTGTGCCTTCTCGAGTTTTACTTTCATTTGTCATATTTGATTGTTTATTTATTTGTGAATATTTTGTATCAAATCGAACATTCGAACAAGTGCTAAAGCGCCCTGAGGTTTAATGAACTGTTGGCGGATTTGTTTTTGGTGAAAACCATTGAGGCTGAATCACCTGCTGATTATTATTGTTGGTTGTTGGTTTTATGAGCGTTTACCTTGCGGTTGGCCAGTGGCGTATCATTTGTATGCCATGGGCGAAATTGCCCCAGCGAAATGCATAAAAACTTCAGGTGGCATATTATTTATGGACGGAGTTCAGTGAATTTTAACCAGATTCTAGCCACATCCTAGTTGCAGCTATAATCCCTGTTTATTTATTATACAACTCCCGAAACTCTAAAAAATCAGACAGTTGGCGATCAAAAGCTTAACATTCCTAAGTGGTTTTTTTGTGTTGGTTTTCTCATTTGTGGGGATGCTAAATAGTTGTTAGAAGCTTTTAGTTTTAGTGCTAAGCCGCTTAAAGCGAATAGAATTTCCAGTTAGCCACGGATATACGACTACGTAGAACTCGACTCATCTGTGGCAGCCGTCGATCATCTCTGATCTAACTCTCTGGTTTTTAATTATCGGCTGGCAATAAACGATTTGAGTTCAAGTTGTTAATGGCATTTCATTATGTTTCATAGTTTTGAAAGTTGAAATACTTGAGTCGGAATCCAATGGTTGTTGTACACAACGCATCTTGTACGGGTTTCTTCCGGTTTTCGTTCGATTTCTGATTATTATTAATAATTGAATTTCTATTTGTTCGACGAGCCGCGAACATACTTAGGACCAGCATCTTTTTGTGGTTTTGTTTCGCTCGCAGGGTTTCTTTTTTTTCCGCTGTTGCGTAGTATTAGAGCTTAATTTAATGGAATCAACAATGGAAACCGTTGCTTGATCGATTGTCTAATTTGTCAGCCAAAGGATTAGTACGAAAATCAACATTAATAAGCCATTAAATGCGGCACGAACAAGGTTTTGCCCCCACCTTCCCTCGATCACAAAAGGGTGCAGTTCCGTTTTGATTGATGAAATAAATTCAAAGCTATCTGATGGCTTTTCACACTTTTGGCCAGCTCCACTTCTACTTACACTCTGCTGGGGTTCTATATTCCCCGTCATTCAAACTAACTGCCAACTAAGGTCATTCAACAGCCCAAATAAAAGCAAATCAAAACAGCTTCAAGTTTGGATTTTGGAAGTTCTTTTTGCACTTCGATCGATATAAAATCAATCAAGGTCATCGCATCTCAGCTCACTTCAAACGGTAGCAAAACTGCAAGGTAAAATTGCTTGGAATATTTTTTGGCACGCTTGCGAACTGTTTTCGGAAGTTATGAAAAGGTTTGCTTGTTAAGGTTTATCATTAACATCAATCAGTTTTGTTCAATTTATTAATTTATTTTTTATGAGTAGGCATTTAATAAATATTTTCTTTGAAATCAATTATTAAATATCAATCATTATCATAAATAGCATTTTAGTTTTATATTTTGATATATTTTATTCTCATTTAATTCCGAAATACTCCAAATTCCAAGCCCTCCTCTTTTACTTTAATTTAATTTTCCTTTTAAAGCCACCCAGCACTATAAATAGCCAAGGTCGTTCCATTTGCTATTTTTGGCCCATAATGATGGCAATTTTAGACAATTTGCTAGGCTTCTTCTGCAGTTCGTGAGGCCAACGGCTTAGACAAACACTTTTAAGTTTGGGGGAGGAGCTCTAAAATCGATTAGCACCACGACGACTGGCTAATTGTGGGCACGCACGAAGCTCCAGTTCCGAATACCCTACAGGTGGTCTTTGTCTGCAGACCCGTCTCGCCTGGAATTAAACAGAGGCAACGGTACGATATTGTGGCTGCACTGCGCATGCGTGGCGGCGGCAGCCGAGCGATTCGGTCGGCCCTCTTCGGCAGCGGAGTCTTATAAATACGCCGGGCGTCGGCGCAGTTTTTGTTATTTGAACTTCAAATTTGCTCGAGATCGCTTCGACTCGCGAACTCGGCCGCTAGCGAAACGCGCGCGTTTTCTTAGCGTTTTCTTAAACCGCCTTCAACGCGGCGATTTTGTGTGCTTTACAAGTGGGTAGCTGTTTGCCATAAACAGAGTGACAGTCTATATAGAACATTTTGGTTGTAAATAAAGTGATGTTCGTAAATGTATTTTAGGTGCTGACGCAAGTGGTGCTGTGTGCTGTTGATCTGATCCATTTTGCTGTTCAATTTGAAAACGCGTTGTTGCATCACGGCTCGAGAATGAAGATGGTGAGTGTGTGTTGCAGTGTGATGTTGCTGTGCGAAACGAGTGCGAACAATCAGGCCATAATCGTAACATTGTGGCGGCTAGAATCCCAAATCGTCGCAGAAATATTCACACTTTTTTGAGGTGCAGTTGCACGCTGCATGTGGCAGTTAGCTGCTTTTGCTGCATTTGCAGCTCGGGCAGGCAGTTGGCCTGCTGGCATCCCATGAGTTGTCTGTCAAACAAAATTGCCCAACGCCAAAGAGTTTCTAAAAAGCGACAGCGACGAAAAACAAACAAACTAACAGAAACAGAAACAAAAACGACTCCGCACAGCCAGTGGAGGAGTCGCATGGTAAATTTGCATAAATGGCGCTACAATTGAAGAAAATCGGTACAAGTACAAATAAAATAACAGAAAACAGCTGGCAGCAGTCATCAGTCAGAGGCGAAGACGGCGACATACACGGCAAGAATAGGATCATTATCAGGAAAATACTAATTGAGCTGCTAATCGTATTAGAACTTATCCTTGTCCGATTTAGCATAATATTTTCGGTGCAATGACACTTTATCATTAATAATAATTCTATATTTTATTCTGATTTGAAATCAATCCTTATTTTGACCTGCTCCAAGTGATAAATGACCAAATAATAAAGCCGAAGATATTTATTTCTTTTTGTGTTCAGATCATTAGTTAAATTTTATGAATTCACAACAACAAATGATATATTAAATATCAAAAAATTATTTGTTTCTTAAATATGAACTCTCCCTTTCAATTTATCATCAAAATGATATCACTTTTATTGGCCAAATTTTAATATATTTTAATTAGTCATAAACACATTCTCTTTTTAGACATTTAAAGATGACAGTATATAAAGAAAAAAGTATTTAAGAATTTTATTACATTTATTATTTGCCATCATCCTAAAAAATGATCATTATTATTTAATTTAATTTTATAATTTCAAAGTCATTTCCAATAAAAAAAAATCCAGAAAGCCACTTGGAATTTATTTCGGTGTTGACCTGCGGCAATGGTAACTGCATTGAGTGATTCCACCGGCTCTAAAACCAAGTCCGCTGCCAATGACTGACTCACTCGAGGGCGACTCCGGAGCTGCCACCGGAAGTGCTCATAACCGACCGCTCCGCCCTGCGCTGCGCTGCGCTGCGCTGCTCTTCACGCATGCGCGTGTTCTTGGCCATTTCAAGAGCGGCTAAACGGGCCACGAGATTTGGCAATAAGCTCTTGGCCGCCTCAGGCAGAGGCTGTTGAATGAGTTTCAATGGGTCTGAGTCAATGGGTGCCCAGAACCAGTGTTGAGCAACCGCAATTAACGCCGAACGCCAAGCGCCAAACTGATTCCCCCCAAGGTCGTCACACTACATATAAATAGATGTGCTGGCTTGGTTTTTTCATGATTTCACACGCCTCAATTGTGACAATTAACGCCCCCCGTTTCACGGCATTTGTCGCCCGAATTGTATAAGGTTTTGTCTTTTTTTATTGTTCCGAGCAAGAGCCAAAGAAAAAATGACTCGACATGATCAGGGCAAATTCAGATTCGGATTCTGTTGAAAAAGTTCCAGCAGCGGCGGGCGCACCTCGAGCGGTAGACCTCACCCACTTTACACACTCTTCAGGCCACACAGAATTATGCCACTCGAGATGACGCCGCACATTCGGACAGGTATTTTGTAATGGGTGCTTTAATTACGAGCTTGTACATTGGTATGGTGAAACTTTCAATTAAGGTCAGCAGGAAAACGGATATGTATATCTTAATCAGTCTGAGCCATGTTCAATTTGGGATTACCAGATATCGTAAGACATATTGGAGAGGGGATAATACCATCTTTGGCATATTCTAAATGAACATTAACAAACTGAATTCGACTCCGCCCCGGCACTATGAGTATTATTCATGTTATGCGACACCTGTGTGCGTCACTGCCATAAAAAACATTTCAAGACAAAAACTTAATTGGGTTCTGACTTTAATGGACATACACATATCAACGCGAGTTGTCAACTAATAACGCAACCGAAACCCAAATTATACGTGGCTAGAACTAGTTTCCTGAGGTGGCTTCGATTCTTGCCACAAGTTGAAAGAAGATTGGCAAATCCGCTAGAATTTAAGGCTCGACAGCTGACAAGCCGCTTGAGTATCTCTCAAGTGGCATTTTTCCATAACAATTTATCAAAGAAGCTCTTTGCCATGTTGAGCTCAGAAAAAAGCAACACTAGAAGAATCATAAATCCATAAGAACATTGCGTGGGATGCTTTAAACTATTTCCATTTGATTGAGAAGATCTCGCTGTATGGCGCGGTTTTTGTTCCATTTTTTATATTTTTTTTTGTTTTTTTGCTGCTATTGTCTCGATTCAATTAAGGTTTTTATTTTAATGACCAGTCTTTAACGACTCTGACTTGAAGCGCACTCATAGAAGCCGTTTAGGTTTATTTTTAGTTTTATTTCGTCCAAATTTATGTGTTTCAATTTGAGAAATGGAATTCCGGGTTCCAAAGATTGTTTTTGGCCATAAGATAAAAGTTTCCATTGCCTCTCTCTAGCTCGGTCTGTTATCTATGGCTTAATTAGTGCCTGGCAAATTGCTGGTTTTGCATTTACATAAATCTATGCGAGTGGAGGGATTTCCATCTAATTTGATTTTAGCATCTTCTCGGGTTTATCGAACCGGTCGGCGTGACTTTGCTATCAAGCAGCCAGTGTTGTTGTCCATCCACGAGGCCATTCACATTCGACAGGTATTTAGAACACTTCTAGGCGGTCTAGATTGGATTCCCCGCGTTCACGGTTCGATATACTGGCCAATGTTGAGTGGCAGATGCGCTGACCTTGACTCTGAGTATCGCCCGTAGCTGCTACCAGTTTTTATTTATCTGTTTTTTTTTTTTAATGCAATCACATGCGGGTTTGGTCTAGGCTCGGTGGCTCCACCTCTGCCAATAATCAATCAACGTGCGGGCAATTAGCGCACAAAAATGCGTTTAATGTGGTTTGCGACTTTCTGATTAATAATGTGCGTAAAGCGACTTCGTTGAACGCGACCTAATTGGTCAGCGAAGACAGTGACGAATTCTTAGCCAAAAATCTATAGTGTCAAAAGCTGACACAGAGATTTGCCAAATTTTTGGGCCTTAATTATATGCGGAAATTTTTAGATGCTCGGACGACACTGAAAATGGCCATAAACGGCCGAGGCCCACGTAAATATTGTCAGTCACTTCCACTAAATATAAATATAAATGTCCAAGACTTTGATTTAAGATCATTAATGTTTTCGACAGCCAATCACTAAAATATATATCTGATTTTTCTTTATTTACTTTCAGCAGCTTCGTGTGTTTAGTCTGGCTTTGATCGCCCTAAGCCAGAGCTACCTCACTGAGGCCCAGGTAAGCCGATCATATCTCATTAATCTGAGCTTACTTAGCTAATTGATTCGTCCGCAGGGCTATGACTATCCCCAGCCGAAAGTGCCCTTCACCGATGGCTATTCGTACCCCCAGCCAGCCATTCCCTTCCCACCACCAGCTCCGAAAGTGGTGGTGAGCAGCGGCTACTCCTACCCACAGCCATCGATTCCGTTCCCGCCGCCACTGCCCAAGTACACTCCGCCAGTGCAGCAGATCATTCCACAGGAACCTAAAGTGGTCAGTGGATACTCCTATCCCAAGCCAGCTGTTCCGTTCCCACCGGCCACTCAGCCACCTCAAATCAGGGTGACATCACCACCGGCCACCGAAGGATACGCTTATCCCACGCCATCCATTCCCTTCCCACCACCGCCACAGCCGAAACTTGGCTATGACTATCCCAAGCCAGCCATCCCGTTCCCACCACCCACTGCTCCACCACAGAAGTACCTTCCTCCCGTGACCACAACTCCTGCTCCACCACCACCACCGCCACCGACGAAAAAGTACCTGCCGCCTCCACAAGTTAAACAGGGCTACGATTATCCCAAGCCAGCCGTTCCCTTCCCACCACCTACGAATCCGCCACAGAAGTACCTCCCTCCCGTTGTGCCCACCAGTCCACCTGTACCCAAATACATTCCCCCACCTACTCCCGCATACATTCCTCCTCCACCAAAGAAGCAGGGATACGATTATCCTAAGCCCGCCATTCCATTCCCACCACCCACTGCACCACCACAGAAGTACTTGCCTCCCGTCACCACTACTCAAGCGCCACCACCACCACCACCACCCAAGTATCTGCCACCTCCTCAGGTGAAACAGGGCTACGACTATCCCAAGCCAGCCATTCCATTCCCACCACCAACTGCTCCACCACAGAAATATTTGCCACCTGTGACCACCACTGCAGCACCTCCACCACCACCACCACCACCAACCAAGAAGTACCTACCTCCACCACAAGTGAAGTCTGGATACGACTATCCCAAGCCCGCTATTCCATTCCCACCACCAACTAACCCACCACAGAAATATCTGCCACCTGTTGTGCCAACAACTCCCCCACAGCCCAAGTACTTGCCACCTGTGAAACCAACAAACCCACCGCAGCCCAAGTATCTGCCACCCCCACAACCGAAGTCGGGTTATGAATATCCCAAGCCAGCAATTCCATTCCCGCCACCCACTAACCCACCACAGAAATACCTGCCACCAGTGATCCCCACTTCACCACCAGTGCCAAAATATCTGCCTCCTACAAACCCGCCAACGCCCAAGTACTTGCCACCTGTGCAGGTGAAGCAGGGTTACGACTATCCCAAGCCAGCCATTCCATTCCCACCACCCACTGCACCACCACAGAAGTATTTGCCTCCTGTGACCACCACACAAGCACCACCACCACCACCTCCTACATCCAAATACCTGCCTCCTCCACAAGTAAAGCAGGGCTACGACTATCCCAAACCCGCCATTCCTTTCCCACCACCCACGAATCCGCCGCAGAAGTACCTGCCACCTGTTGTACCCACCACTCCACCCACCCCGAAGTACCTGCCACCTCCTCAGGTGAAACAGGGCTATGACTATCCCAAGCCAGTCATTCCATTCCCACCACCCGCACCCAAATCCGATGGCTACTCCTATCCGAAGCCGGCGATCGCCTTCGACTTTTAAAGAATCATCCATCGATCGGCCACTCATCACTGGTTAAATGACACAATTGCCTCTGTGTGCGCATAGTGATCCTTAGGAACGTACGAAATTGAATAATTGTAATTAACTGTAATATTTAATTTAATACTTATCTTTAATGATGTACCGGGGATCTTGCCTGCGGACTCTCCAATCGAACTTAGTCATTAAAATATGTTTATTAAATTTATGTTTTAACGATTACGCAATGCTGCCGAATTAAAAACGACAATGTGAATGTTTAAATTGCTTCTTTTAATATGGGTTAGGAAGGAAAAACTTTTTTTTGTTGGAATTTTACAGAATATTTTATGGTAAGAGAAAATACAATAAAACACTCCGAAAGATATATTATTTGCTGGAAACTGAAAAATAGAGTCAACATAAACTTTCATTGAAGTGCAGACGACTAACTTTTGGATTATTTTTGCTATAAAACATGATGTAAGCTAAGACGTCTTCGGTTATGACTAATTTTGGTTGCTAGCAGATTTTGAATTTATTGACGTATTGACCGTGATCGCTGACGTAGGCAGAAAAATGTCTTAGGGGTTTTTATTTCCAAACAAAATCATTCTAGTTTAATTCTCACAATAATTTCAGCTTAAAATGTCATGTATATGGTTCTTAGCTAAAAATAAGTTAGTTTTCAGTAATAAAATTCGCAAATTTTGAAACAAATACCTAATTCAACACTCCGAATTTTAATTAAATAAGCTAGAATCAGTTATGCTCACATAGTTTTAGACTGGTTAGCTCATGTTTAGCTAGGCAGCTGGAAAGTATGCTGCGATTGGTCTCCAACAAATATGCCACAAATAATATAAGTTAACGGATTCGAAACGTAAGAATGTGAAACAATTAACTTGCAAATTTACCTTTTAGCACAAGTACTGAAATCACCAGCTTTAATGACATAATGCGTTTTATTATTTAAAGTAAAAAATCAAGTCATTCCTTACTCGTTGACTCCTTAAATACTATGTATAGTTCTGGAGAGATAATTTTAGAATTGTTCTTTTAAGCTACTTACGTAAAATATGTCTTCCGTGAGTATTTAGACATAGTTCCTAAAAAGTTGAAAGACATTTGAATGTGATTTCTACCATTCTAACGGTCGATAGTTTGCAATGATCGCTTGAACCTGTAAGTATACTACAGCGAAGAACCACAAGGTATACCACAATTAATCTTAGCGTTGACTTTGAACTTGAAGCTCGAGACGACAATGCACTTGCTGAACAAAAAATTAATTTCGGATCATTAAACGAGTTTCCGCATCTTGGGGCTGAACTAGTTTTTTTTCCTCTGCTGGATCGTCTCCGCTTGACGACAGCCCGGCATTAATGCTTAATAATCGCCAGCTTTAATGGCCTAAGCTTTTTTCTTTATTATGCAATATTATTGTTAAACAAATAAGTGTGCTACCAGCATCCGTGTTTCCTGTTTTTGGATTATTAATAAGCCAGTGGGAGTATTTTTCAATATTTTTATTGTTTATGAATTTCTCAATTTCGTTCCCCAAGGGAAAACCCAAAGTCAAATAACAGGATTTGGCTTGGTTTTTTCTCGGGGGTTCGTTGGAGCCTCTAGTAACGGTGACGACGGAGGACCACGCGACGCTGGGTCTTGTAGCGGTATCCATCGTTGGAGGAGAAGGAGTGAGCGGGCTCAGAGGCGGCGGTCTCGTAGCTCTCAGCGGGTGCAGAGTAGGAAGCAGCTGGGGCGGAGTAGGAGGCAGCTGGGGCAGAAGCGGCACCGGTGTAGAACTCGGGAGCAGAGTAGCTCTGGGCAGGAGCCGAGTAGCTCTGGGCGGGAGCGGAGTAGGAGACAGCTGGAGCAGAAGCAGCAGCAGTGTAGGTCTGGGCGGGAGCAGAGTAGCTCTGGGCGGGAGCAGCGTAGGACACAGCTGGGGCAGAAGCAGCAGCGGAGTAGGTGGCAGCTGGAGCGGAGTAGCTCTGGACGGGAGCAGAGTACACTGGAGCTGGGGCAGAGGCTGCTGGGGGCAGGTAGTCGTTGGAGGGCAGGTGGCTCACATCACGACGGTGACGACGGAGGACCACGCGCTTGTGGGTCTTGTAACGGTATCCATCGTTGGAGGAGAAGGAGTGGGCAGGAGCGGAAGCGGCGGTCTCGTAGCTCTCAGCGGGGGCGGAGTAGGAAGCAGCTGGTGCGGAAGCGGCGGCGCTGAAAGTCTGAGCGGGAGCGGAGTAGCTCTGGGCGGGAGCCGAGTAGGACACAGCTGGGGCAGAGGCAGCGGGAGCGGGCTGGTAGACGGGAGCTGGAGCAGAAGCTGCTGGGGGCAGGTACTCACTGGATGGGGCAGATGCGGCTCCCTGGAAGGGGGGCAGGTAGTCGTTGGATGGGACACCACGACGGTGACGACGGAGGACCACACGGCGGTGGGTCTTGTAACGGTATCCATCGGTGGCCGAGAAGGTGTGAGCGGGCTCAGAGGCGGCGGTTTCGTAGCTCTCAGCGGGGGCAGAGTAGGAGACAGCTGGTGCGGAAGCGGCAGCGGTGTAGGTGGCAGCGGGTGCGGAGTAAGAGGCAGCTGGGGCGGCGTAGGACACAGCAGGAGCCGAGGCAGCAGCGGTGTAGGTGGCAGCAGGGGCAGAGTAGCTCTGGGCAGGAGCAGCGTAGGACACAGCTGGGGCAGAAGCGGCAGCGGTGTAGGTGGCAGCTGGAGCAGAGTAGCTCTGGGCAGGAGCAGCGTATGACACAGCTGGGGCAGAAGCGGCAGCAGTATAGGTGGCAGCAGGAGCAGAGTAGCTCTGGGCAGGAGCAGCGTAGGACACAGCTGGGGCAGAAGCGGCAGCGGTGTAGGTGGCAGCAGGAGCAGAGTACGAAGCAGCTGGAGCGGCGTAGGATACAGCTGGGGCGGAGGCGGCAGCAGAGAAGCTGGTCTCAACTGGAGCGGAGTAGGAAGCAACTGGGGCCGAGGCCTCTACGCTGTAGCTGGAAGCTGGAGCGGAGTAGGATGCCACGGGGGCAGATGCTGCTCCACGGCTGGGAGGCAGGTACTGGCTGGATGGCAGATGGCTGACATCGGCGGCCACGGCGGCGATGAAGGCGCAGAACAAGAAGAATTTCTGTAATGGATTAAATGACACATAACTGTTAGTTGATTATCCTGGTGGAGCACGGATCCTGGTTAGTACCATTTTGCTGGGTGCTCGGCTGTCCAGTTGATCAGAGAGTGCAAGTGGAAGTGATGCCTTTTACCATGTTCTGCGGCTTATTTATATGATTCTAATCATCGGCCTGCGGCAGGAAATTTGCATTTGACTTTTTAATTTATGAATTTGTATTTAGTGACACCGCCGAAAACATATCCATTATAGTTTTGCAATCAGGTTTGCAACGGGTTTTGCGATCTGCTCATCGGCAGCATGAGGCTGTGTTTGGGGGACCCCCTTTATCCCCCGGCCGAACAGCCGCTTAATACTTTTTATTAGATTTCGTGAATACTTAGTGACCAAGATCAGGTTCCATTGTTCCCCCAACCGCCCTGTCCAATTTCTCCCAGGCCAACGCGTGCCCGTACTGATCGACTCCCCGGATCAATTTGCTTAATTATCGATAATTAGATTGTGACTTAATCAGCTGGCAGTAGTCGGGTTCTATGACTCCGGGTAATAAAAGCAGATGTTCGATAGCGGAGCGGAGAAAAGACAAGAAACAGTTGGTAAAAAGCAAAATAACTGCCGAAAAAGGCAATCAAATTGCGGAAATAAATCACCATCTCAATGCCGAAACAATAGATCTGACTGTCCAAGCCGATTGTATGTCAAAGCCTGTATGAAAACCTGAACAAAAAGAATGGAATACTCTTATGGAAAAATTAATGCTTAGACAGATCAAGTCTAAGGAAATCAGGCAATTTATTAACTGGTTGGTATATAAAGAAATCTAGATAATTAATCCAATTTCTTAGATTAGATTGAGTTAAAAACTTAATAAATCTTTTCAAGCAGTTCGCCTTTAAGTCGGTGGAATAGGATAGAGCATATACTTTCACTTTTCTCAATTTAAGAAAATAATAATAATGATTCGTATATTAATTTTAAGTAATGATTAGTTTAACGTTAAGCTTACTATGAAAATGAATGTACCCTCATATTTATAGGTAAGCGGTCTAAAAGCTTTAAGCAGGCTTGAACCTTTCGAAGATGAGTGTGCGGAAGCATTAACAGAAATAGATTCCGAATTAATTCGATTATGTGTCAAGTATACATAAGCCCACGTTCTCATAATTATAATTAGATCACGAAATATTTCATCTTTTCTAACACTTAGATGCTTTACTTTTCGGCATTGGCGAATCTTGACAAACGAGTATGTAGGTGTTTTTATATAAGGTATGTGCGTTCTCTTTAAGTTTCCCATTTTCAACTAGATTTATCTATTTCATTTCTGTCCCTCCCTTATCAAAAACACATTTCAGTTTATGGATTCGTATTATTGTATTTGTTTGAATGAAAAGTAGGTATTCTAATAGTAAAGTCTGCACTCCAAAATGAGCACAAATCGATCACCTAGTGAAGCCGTTATCGCATGATTTAGTGGCGGCGGATCACAACGCGCTTGTGGGTCTTGTAGCGGTAGCCATCATCAGCCAGGACATGGGCGGGAGCCACCTCGACGGTGTTCTCCACGGGGGCCAGGTACTCGGCGGCGGGAGCAGCCTCCACGGGGGGCAGGTACTCGTTGGCCAGCTCGTTCACATCACGACGGTGACGGCGGACAACCACGCGCTTGTGGGTCTTGTAACGGTAGCCATCATCGGCCAAGATGGTCTCGGGAGCAGCCTCAACTGGAGCCAAGTACTCGTTGGAAGGAGCCACGGCCTCCTGGACAGGGGGCAGGTATTCGTTGGACAGCTCGTTGACATCACGACGGTGACGGCGGACAACCACGCGCTTGTGGGTCTTGTAACGGTAGCCATCATCGGCCAAGATGGTCTCGGGGGCAGCCTCAACTGGGGCCAAGTACTCGTTGGAAGGAGCCACGGCTTCCTGGACAGGGGGCAGGTATTCGTTGGACAGCTCGTTCACATCACGACGGTGACGGCGGACAACCACGCGCTTGTGGGTCTTGTAACGGTAGCCATCATCGGCCAAGATGGTCTCTGGGGCAGCTTCAACTGGAGCCAAGTACTCGCTGGAAGGACCAACTGGGGGCAGGTATTCGTTAGACAGCTCGCTCACGTCACGACGGTGGCGACGGTAGACCACGCGCTTGTGGGTCTTGTAACGGTAACCGTCATCAGCAAGCTCGTGGGCGGGCTCAGCCTCAACCTCGACGGGAGCAGGGGCGGCAAGCTGGACAGGGGCGGCGATCTGGACTGGAGCGGGGGCAGCAACCTCGACGGGGGCGGCAACTGGGGGCAGGTACTCGTTGGAAGGAGCGACAGCCTGGGTAGGGGGCAGGTACTCGTTGGAGGGCAGGTGGCTCACATCACGACGGTGACGGCGCACAACCACGCGCTTGTGGGTCTTGTAACGGTAACCATCATCAGCGAGAACGGTCTCGGGAGCCTCAACTGGAGCCAAGTATTCGTTGGAAGGAGCCACGGCTTCCTGGACAGGGGGCAGGTATTCGTTGGACAACTCGTTCACATCACGACGGTGACGACGGAGGACCACACGACGGTGGGTCTTGTAACGGTAGCCATCATCAGCAAGCTCGTGGGCGGGTTCAGCCTCAGCCTCAACTGGGGGCAGGTACTCGTTGGAGGGAGCGGCAGCCTGGACAGGGGGCAGGTATTCGTTGGAGAGCTCGTTCACATCACGACGGTGACGACGGACAACCACGCGCTTGTGGGTCTTGTAACGGTAGCCATCATCAGCGAGAACGGTCTCTTGAGCAGCCTCAATGGGAGCCAAGTACTCGTTGGAAGGAGCGACGGCCTCCTGGACAGGGGGCAGGTATTCGTTGGACAGCTCGTTCACATCACGACGGTGACGACGGAGCACCACACGGCGGTGAGTCTTGTAGCGGTAACCATCATCAGCCAGCTCATGGGCGGGCTCAGCCTCGGCTGCGACAGGGGGCAGGTATTCGTTGCTGGGTCCAGCAATGATCTGCTGCTCCTGGACGGGAGGCAGGTACTCGTTGGAGGGCAGGTGGCTGACATCAGCAGCCACAGCTGCGATCACGGCGAATGCGACCAGGAAGAGTTTCTGCAAGAAACAGAGGGGTAAGTGGGGTTAGTCCTTCAGTGTGGTGTTGATCTCGAGTAGCTATTGTGGCTTAATCCGAAGCTTAAGCCGAATCCTACCATATTGTCCGTTGAGTTGCTTGTTCACAGCAGTAAAACTGAAACTCTAATGAGGAATACGCAGAACCTTTTGGTATTTATACAGATTCTCCGCTCTTCGCTGGCCATTACAGAGCTGGCGTTTTTGGTCTCTGCCCAGAAAGACGTCGCTGCCGGCGCAGGCGTCTGTAAAAATTCGCACGATTTTGGCTTTAACTTCGCAGAGCTGCCTGGTTCTAAGCCTCTCTTTTGCGGCCCAAACGCAGCTTGGCCAACACGATCGACGGCGACTGCGACGCTTACATTCGCACAAACTCAAGCTCGAGAGCAGTTGATGGCTAAAAAAAATTTTTAATGGCCAAAATCGTTCGCACGGATTCTCTTAATTGTTTTATTTAATCATATGCAAAAGATTTGATGGACATCAACGTTTTGGACAAGTCGAGCGCTCGCACACATACACGCCAAAATAAACGTATTAACTTGGCTCTCTCATCTTGTTTACACCTCTTTGTTTTTTATTTTTCGATTTTTTCGCTTGCCTTGTTTCATTCAAGCCGCCTCTGCATTGCGCTCGCCTTAAATTCAAATGATGAGTTATATGTTTCAATCAAATTCGCTCACTTCAATAGATCCGAAGCCCCAGCTGAAAGTCGATTATTTCGAACGCAGCCTCTTCTCTTTGTGGCGATGTCGTTCGCCGTTCATTAATCAACAAATAGGAACTAACCAAGCGAGGCATTCAATTTTTTTTTGTTGAAAATATGATATAATTATGCCTGATGCCTATGAGTTCCTCAAGTTTGTAAACAGAATGCCGGATATTCGATCGAAAGCTCTTCAGAAGAGCCTATTGTGGAGATTCTGAGTATAATTTGTATTGTGCAGATGCAAGCTTCGATTTCTTAAATATTTATGAATAATAACAATGACCTATTTATTGGATATAACCTTTTTCTTTATTACAAAAAGTATACATTTATAAGCTGTTAAGTTTTTAAGTTAACTACAAAGTTCTTCTAGACACGTTAACAAAACAAAATCTATGCCTGCAGTTATATAATATCAACCCCAACACACTTAATCCCAACTCAATAAATTTTCTATATCACCCAGATGTGGCATTTGATTAGCAGCTGATTTCTGTGACACTCTTGTTCAAAAACCTCTCACCAAAGAATATTGTTTTAAAATCAAACATGGCCATGCATGAGATGTTCGAATAAATCAGCTAAAGTGGTTCGCACCAGTACATCAAGACTATATACTTTAGCTTATTTATGAGTAAATTTAATTTTAAACGCACACTTCAGTTGATAAAAGGGGATTAAATGTTCAAATCACAATTATTTATGCGTTGAGAGGTGCAAGGCAGGCCATCAATTCAAGATAATCAATTTGTTAAGAGCCAAAGTAAACCGTGGACTGCAGCAGCTACTCTTAAGCAATGATTAATGATACAATTTTGGTGAGGGGGAGTACATGGTGTTTCTTTGGCCATAATGCGGTGTTTTTGCAACATCGAAGCCAAAAAGCAAGGCTCGTTAGAGGTGCTAAGAACTAATCGGTTCCGGAAAACTGAAGGATAAACAGTGACTAACCCCGCTGCTGATCGATTCTTCGAAAATTCGCTATTAAACTTGGGTCAATGAGGAGCTGTGAAAGTCAAGGCTAAGATCTATGGGGTTGCCCGATGCGTTGAGATATTGATGAGATTGTGGGATGGTTGTGGGGATTGTGCCAGTGATGGATGGTTGTCACGCGCCACCAATCGGCGCCTCATGCTCGCAGACGAAAGTCGAGTCTCTCGGAAGACGGGTCTTTATAGCACCAGTTTGGCTAATTAAGGTGGGCCATAAACGAAGTTGGTTAGTATCAAATAACAACTATATCATTTTCCCTATTTCCAAATGCATTAAGATTTAGAGCCTTACAATTCTAGTTTTGTTCTTCCCATTGTTCGCCTGAGATAAATCATTTCATTTCCTGTGTGTGTGCACAGCACTAAAAAAGAGTCACAAACTGCGAGTATTAACGATCTGAATTTATGGCTTTGCCAATTTACATTTTAATCACTAGCAGCATCGCGTATTCTAGCATATTCTATACATATATATATCTTATTGTGACTGAGGTCCAGTTTCTCATAAATGTTCTACACGCATGCTGCCAGTCAATAGATCACGATTAGCTAGCCGGCCAACGCATCAGTTTCATCTGCTTATTATTTTTGTTATTACTGTCCATCAGTAGTTCGGTGAGCCGGTCCTAACACTTAAAAGTTCCATTTCGGAATCGGTGTTTATGCTGAAAAATAGCAAAATATGCAAATTAGTGAATGGCAGCCGGGGTACCATATATATATATGTCTCATAGAATGGGACAAAAACCCATCACAATGGCCACAGACAACACTTAAAATTGTCATATCGGCTTAATAAGTAAGCGTGGGGGCCCCAAATTAGCGTAACCTACAAAAAGAAACCAGGAGAGTGGATCGGCGAAAGGAGATGTCTGTCCAACTGATTGTGCTATCGGATAATGGATGGATCGGACTCCCCAAATGGAGTTTCCGAAATGCTATATTCCAGATTCAGTCTACCTTTGCCTTTGCATAATCCCACAGGCCGCGTCGCTCTGTCTAACAAAAACCATTTGGCGTTGACTTAATTTATGCAAATTCTATTCTAATTAATATTAAAGCCATTCGATTTTTTGCTATATCTATAAGCTTAACAGGCGGCAACTTCTTTCTCGTGGCTGCTGCCTTTCCTTTGTCTTAGTCTTTGTTTTTTTTTTTTGGCCGGCATAGTCACACGCGCTAGTTAATTTAGTTTTTAAAAATACTCTAACTAGGGTGCTTTTCCCTTTCCTAAACTAACACCTAAACCAAGTTAACTTTTATCCAACTATAAACCATATAAAGTTGCAGCAAAAGAAGGCCTTTTGATATGGATAGATTTTCATTTCTTTACTTTACTTACATATCAAGTCTATATAATTTTGTACTACATTCTGAAAATAATATTCGTAAAAAAGTGCTTGTTTTTAGAATGATCTGATTCCCTTACTATTTTATTTTCCGTTACTGCTGACACTTTCTGCATCTAACTATTTTTTTGTTTCTTCAATTATAGAGTAAAATCATGTCGTTTTGGATGGTCCCTAATCTCCACTAGCAAAGTACACGTTTTAGTCTTTTATGATAAATTTAACGTTTTTTCAGCCTGTGATGCTCTTTTTTCGTTTAACTAAAATGTATGATAAATCATTCTGGAAACCCGTTTTCAAATCGCCACACTCTTCTGAGCCGGCGACTAGAAAGTGCCACCACCGCCATGAAGCGCATCTCCAGAGCAGAAAAAAAAACAAAACAAAAACCGAAAAAAGCCAAAATATAAATATACAAAAATCAACGCCAAGCAACAGGGCAGCAAGAAAACAAAAAACATAAAGATCTCCGCACACTTTTAACACTCGGCTCGGGGCCAATAAATAATGGATACGCGTGGCAGCCGAAATTTGGCAAGTTCCTTTCATGTAATTCTGATTTGGATTCTAATTTTGATTCCTATTCTGATTCTCTGGGTCTGCCCGCGGCTCATCGAGTGGTTTTCTGTTTGATGGCTGATGATCGAAACTTGGAAACATGAGGCTTGAAGTGCGATTGGGCTCGAAAATGTATTTTCGGTTGTGGGCTGTCTAAAATTAATTATGTGGCTGCCAAGTGCTGAAAATTAATCATTCTGGCTCTTTTATTCTATGTTTAACGGATGACGCAAGGCGGAGTTACATGAGATCGGACTAGTGCTGATCCCAAAACCCTTTAAGCATAGCGTTCTAGCTTTAAGTTGAACATCTGTTCATCCATTAAACAAATGGATACACGGCAAGAAATTCATATACATATATGGTTTCGTTCTTGACTTCATGACTTTTGATAATAATAAATAAAACTTGTTTTATTATCGGAAATTGAATATTCATTTTAAATAAATATGCAAAGTAGATAAGTCGAAATTAAATTAAAGTGTTTGGTTTAGTTGTGCTGAACAAACAGTTTATAAATAAGCTGTATAAATTATGAATAATAATATTATTGCCTTTCATTAAAGATAATAATAAACTTAACTTTTAAATAATGTAAATGGTTCTATTAATATATTTGTTCTTTTTTTTTTGAAGAATGCGAATATTTACTGCAATCTGAAACTTCTTATTATAGGTAAGTTATTAAAAGCTAGAATGTAATATATCCTTTTGCTCAGTGCTGCTGGGAAACCATTAAATGATGGTCCAAATGCTCGAAATGTTTGATGGCAATAATTGCCAAAGAAGCGGGTGGCTTGCGGATCATTGAACTCCGCCAGCCCCACGATGAATCCACTCACTCGCTTTGCATAGTTGCCGTAGCCACAAGCCGGCGAAATTCGCACAGACATCATCCAAAATTTATTTCTGTAATCAACGGGCTTTGAATGCCCTAGCGGTCTCCGTTAATTTTATGCCGAGCTGAGCTCCTTCGTAGAGTTTGATCCGAAAGTTTGCCATAAATTATTTTAATTTAATGCTACTTGTAGCCATATTTTTTTTGGTTTGCCCTGTTGCGGGCATTTGACTCACTTAAGCGAGCTAATTTCACCAGGAGAAGTGCGCTGATTTATGAAACGAAGCTAAGAGCTTTCTATGGGCCATGTATTGGGTCAAGAGCCGACGAGATCGGCTAATCCACTCTGACCTACAGTTGGCCCAAAATAGACGCACATGCTAACAATAAACGTCTCAGATTTGATTTAGGAGTCCAGTCGCTAATATCGACATTGATTGGCGAATTTGAACATTACTAAGGCCCGCCTTAGTCTGCCAAAAATAAAACTTAAATAATCATAACAAAAAACACAAATATTGCTGTCTTACATATACGCAGACTTTTAGCCATAGGTCACAAATGCGACGGGCCAAAAACGGATCCAATGACTATGTTTTGGCCAGCTCACCTCTATGCAGTCAACTGGCCAAGATTTGCTGCCTGGTGAAACAATAGATTTTGTTTTATTTCTATTTTGATTTCAGTTGATTGGATTTGCATGAGAATCGAATCTAAATGTTGCATAAATTTATGTGGCGACAATTCGTTTTGCCTCTCTCGCTAAAAGTCTTTTAGTGCCTCTATTTCTATTGAGCTCTGAACTAGTTTTCTTTCCGCGTACCCTAATGAATAATATATACAACTTTTCCATCAAAGGTGATCGTAGCTATTCCCAGAACATAAATGCCCTAATTTATTTCCACGACTTTAGTTTATATGTTAATATATTTAGTTTACAGAAGTTCCTTTGAACCAAACAAACCTATAAAATACAGTCAATAATTATGGTAATATATTATATATAAGCAGTATGGCATATAAATTTATGTAGTCTGGTTTAAAGTTAAAGTAAAAGCTCTTTTTAAAAAGCTTAGCTCCAAAAGCCGTGTAAAATACTCGACAAACTTCAAAGCAGCTTCAAGCGGAAACGGATGTGAAAAACCACACTCCGTGCCTAAAAGTATACTTTACAAAATAAAACAACCTTTCTTTTGACTGCTCTTGTAGCAAATGCTGCTAAGTATAATATAATTTATTATATAAAAAGTTTTTTATAAAATTTAAAACTCGAAAGAATGCTTGGGCTTCTGGTAGTGATACCCATCCTCACGATAGTCGGTGTCGTATTGCGAGGCAGAAGTTCCCTGATCAGCATGGTTTCGCTTTGAGCTGCTCCTGTGGCTTCGGTGTTTCTTAGGAGCAACTACATACGAGGACTGCCGGTTACTGGCAGCAAATCCTAGGAAGCCAGATTGTGCATCATCATCCGCATCATCCTCATCAGCCAACAGAACAGATCGCTGATTGGGGTTAACTGATACCAAAGCTCGGTGATGGCCATGATGGGGATCGCTGTAGAAGTTGCCATCGATGATATTGGTGTCCTGTTGGTTTCCCAGAGCACTCGTGGGTCCCTGAAGATGGGGCTGACCAAAAACGTTGCCATTCAGGACATTGAGACCCTGGTAGTTCGATCGATTAGGAGGACGTCGGTTGTTAAGACGTGGCACTTGTCCCGCAGCCAATTGAGCTCCAATAGAGGGATCAAACTGTCCTTGATTGGGATCGAAGGCTCCCTGGCCAGCTGCCAGTTGAGCTCCTTGTGGTGCGTTCACTGGATTGGGTCTCTGATTGGAAAATCCCTGGCCAGTTCCAAGTTGAGCTCCAAGAGCAGGATCAAAAGATGCCTGTCCATTGGGTCGCTGGTTTTGAACTCCTTGGCCGGCTCCAAGTTGAGCGCCGGAAGAGGGATCAAAAGGTGCCTGAGCATTGGGTCTTTGGTTAGATACACCTTGACCTGCACCTAATTGAGCACTGCCGGAGGGATCAAAAGGACCACCGAGCTGCAAATTGGGATCATATTGGCCTTGCACAGGCCTTTGAGCTTGACCAGCACCGAAGGATGGGTTAAAAGGGGCACCTGCAGCTGCTTGGCCGCCGAAAGAAGGGTCAAATCCTTGCCCGGCTCCCAGTTGAGCTCCTCCTGCAAGTTGACCATTTCCAAGCTGGGCTCCACCAGCAAGTTGACCTGCTCCTAGTTGTCCTCCTCCAGCAGCCTGTTGATTTCCAGCTGCGTTTCCTATGGCTCCCAGCTGAGCTCCCAGCGATGGATCAACAAAGAAGTTGAGTCGGTTGCCACCTCCGTATCCTCCATAGCCGCCTGGCCGAGATGGTGGACGCTGTCCATTACCCAGAACGGCTAATTGTCCACCAGGAATGGGTTGGCTGGCAGGAAGGTTAGCTCCAGTGGGGGCCAGTGCACTAGCTGGCAGCTGAGCGCCAACGGGATCAGAGGGTCCACAGCCAGGAGACACATTTCCAGGTCCAATAAACTGGCAGTTGGGTCGGAAGCCTGGTGCCTGAGCCCCAGTTGGCGCTTGAGCAGCAGGATCCTGTGCTCCTGCGGCCGGATCTGGTCGAGTGAGAGAGTTTAACTCTGAATCCTGAGATTGCACATTGATCTGGGTGTGGGTGTGGAACACAGAGTTGGGAGCACTAGCATACAGAATCCTACTAGGACGACGCCTTCGATAAACCACTTGAGTAGCAGCTGGAGTGAACAAATCCTGATTGTAATCCGTTCGAACATGGGGCTTGCTGTGCTTGTAGTGGATGTGTTGGGTCTTCACCTCGGGCTTCTTGTCATAGTGATGGTAGTGATCCACTCGCTGCTTCTTTGGCTCCTCATGGTGGTGCTCCGTGTACTCTTTATAGTGCTTAGGCTCTTCATGATCCTCCTCCTTGTGATAAACCACCTCGCTAGTGTGCTTTTCCTTCTTGTAGTAAGGTTGCTCTGCATCCTTTTCCTCCTTAGGAGGTAGATAATGCGACTCCTCGTCTTCATCCTCGTGTTCCCGGGAGTGGTGATGCCGCTGGTGCTTGTGATGTTTCACATGAGAAACATCGGCCAGGCAGACGATAGCCAACAGGCTTAAAACCAGGACCAAGAAGAGTTTCTAAAATTGAGATAGCTTAATGAGATACCTAATCCCGACTTATCGTTGATATCTTACCATTGCTCAAGTGCCAATGATTCCAATCAGCCGTGGATGCAACTTTTATACTCTCTTCGGGTTCATTTGGGTTGCATCCCCACATCGAGCCCCCAAAAATAATACAGAAATTGAAAGCGAAACCTGTTGTTGAGCGTGAGAAATCGATTCTACGCTTTATGTGACCCATTTGTTCTTATTGAATAGCCGCCAATTTAGATTCTAATGAATATTCTAAAGCACAACGAAAGTGTCCCGTAAATTTGTCAGATCAAAGCGTTGAAATTTATTGGTCTAAGTACACTGCACACGCTAATAACATATGGGTTCTTTGATCTCACTTTTGGCTAGCTTGGCAACAAGTAATGGAAGTGAAATTCTAAATATACTCTTATATATGACTTAACTCTTAAAGAATCATTTTTATAATGAAAAATTGCTTAGTCTTAGAAGTCTTGCAAGTGAGTCCAAAGCTTAGGGGTCAAATTCAATCAGATATGCAAGCATAATTAAAGTAGTTAAACAAAATTTCTTAACTGCACTTTAAAACTAACTAACAGTCATAGTATCTATCACAAACTGCTAAAATAAAACATTTATTATTGTGTTTAAATACTTTATAAACAAAAACAATTATTATATAAACTATTTCCGTAAACTGATAAACACAAATGCATTTCCCCATTAACGGTCTTCCAACTTAACATATTCATAGAAGATGAAGTCATTTTATCTTTGGGTCAATCATTCATAAATTGCATTCCAGTGCTAATAACACAATAAATATTCATTAATAATGCTTTGCAGTTATAGCTCCTCTATTCATTTTGATAAGATTATTTATTGTTGAGAAAAATATTTGTTCTTCTTTGGCAGAGTATGTTTTCCTCATCTGTTTTTTGGCGTTTGCTTTGCAGAAACCTTTCTTGCATAATAAGCTAATTATCATATTATCTTTTTTAACATATTAATGCTTAAATAAAACTTCATGTTTTCATAATTTTTATATTCGCTTTTTATTGTCGTATTTTATTATCATAGCATCATAATCATTAGCATTCTTAAGCGCGGTGCTTGTACACACGACGACGGATGGTCTTGTACTTGTATCCCTGCTGGCTGGCGGCGGGCTGGCTGTAATCGTATCCGGAGCGGGCGGCAGAGGGAGCGGAAGCGGCAGCCTCGAAAACTGGTCCTGAGGACTCGAAGGCAGGAGCGGGAGCGGGGGCAAAGGACTGCACGGGGGCTGGTGCTGGTGCTGGGGCGGAGAAACTCTGCACAGGTGCGGATGCGGCAGCATGGTGATGAACCTGAGGAGCGGGAGCTGGAGCATGGTAGACCTGAGGAGCAGGAGCACGGTGAACCTGTGGTGCGGGTGGCACATAGGTCCTAGCTGGAGCTGGAGCAGACTCAGCGGCGTGGAAAACTGGAGCAGGAGCTGCTACTGGAGCGGGAGCAGGGGCAAAGGACTGAACGGGAGCTGGAGCAGATGCAGCGGCATGGTGGACTGGAGCTGGGGGCACATAGGTGCGCACTGGTGCGGGTGCAGAGGCAGCTTGCTGGAAAACTGGAGCTGGGGCAGCCACCGGAGCCGGGGCGGGGGCGAAAGTCTGCACAGGGGCGGAGGCAGCAGGAGCTGGCGGCACATAGGTCCTGGCTGGAGCAGGAGCAGGGGCAGCCACTGGAGCTGGGGCGGAGGCAGCGAATTGACGGGGAGCCGAGTACGACCTCACGGGAGCGGGGGCGGCCACTGGAGCATTATAGTTGTAGCCCGATTCAGCGGTCACACAGCCAACCAGAGCCAAAGTCAAGATGAAGAATTTCTGAAAGATCGAATGAAATACCATAAAATAGAATCCTCAGAACAGCTGGCAGATCCTTACCATTTTCGTAGATCTGTTTGCTTTGGGGGCAACGAATCGAATAATGTCTTAGACCAACGACTCCTGTACTTTTATAGAAGCCAGCGAATCTGCGGATTTAAACGGAAGTGCTGAGTATCATAAATCAACGAAACGTTTTTCACGTCTTAAAATTTGTTTAATTAGGCAAACAGATACCTCGACCACGGCACCAGATGGGGCTTGTTTTTATCAGTTAGGTACGCCACGGAGTTTGGATTAAAAACTCTCATTTTTTTGGCTGTCATTCGGAATATAAATATTCATAAGAATACCCATATCACAGCTTTATTTCGTCTTGGCAAAACAATTTTATCGCAAACCTGATAGTTTAGTTTCATCTCCCAAGAAGAGCTTTTTTAATTCACCCAAGCTTTTGCGATAAACATGAAATGTTTTTATGAAAAACAGTAGCAGGGTGCTATTTTTAGGTCGATCCCGAAGAAGAGGTATCACAATTAACCGGTCATAAACTAACCGAGTCAGCCGTAAGTTTCAACCATTTAAACCGAAACAAACTGCAGAAGCTAATGACTTAATGTTCCGCTAACTAGATTGATTGCCTGATTGATTAATAGCTCAGGGAAGCCTCAAGATCGCGGCTTCGTTTAAACATCTTGGAGGTCTGAAATGTTTCCTCTAGAGGTTAATGGCTTCTCGTTCCCTTTTTTGCATAATAACGTTATCTGATTTGTGTTGACGCCCTCCAATGATCTTAAAACTTAACAAACCTTTGTTTATGTCTCTGAGCTTTCTTTATTGTCTTTTTTCTCTAATTCGGGAATATGCAAATCGGATCGAGTCAGACATGCAAATAAACCAATAAAATGTATTTTTGCATTTCTTTGCCGAGATCGAGAATTAGCATTAGAATATAGTTGGCGTTGTGGGTTAAACCGCAAACCAGTTGAGTTGGTGGTTGCTCAGAAATGTTGTTTGTATTTTTTGTTTCGGTTGATGATGCATCTTACTGGGGTGGCAGATAGGTGTTACGGGGGGCGATCACCTGGGGTGGCAGATAGGTATTACGTGGAGCAGCCACCGAGATCACCTGTGGAGCAGGACGAGGAATAGACAACACTTGGGGAGCAGGACGAGAAATCACTGGAGGTGGCAGATAGGTGTTACGAGGAGGAGCCACGGAGATCACTTGGGGAGCAGGGCGATGAACGGAGACCACTTGAGGAGCTGGACGATAAGCAGGGATCACTTGAGGAGCAGGACGATGAACGGGAATCACTTGAGGCACCACCCTGGGAGCTGGTGGCAGATAGACGTTCTGCGGCTGAACTACCGGACGATGGATGACCTGGGGTTGAACCTGGACCCTCGGAACAGAGATCACCTGCTGCACCTGTGGCACTACCTGAACTTGAGGCGGCAAATAGGTCCTGGACAGGGAAGTGGCACCAACCACTCCCAGCAGACCCACAGCAAAAGCCACAATGATTACACGCTGCCGGGAGAAAAACTTTCCATTAATCCTGATTTCGCAATTATTAAAAACAAATCCGATCGGAACCCACCATGTTGATCACGCAAAGTCGAACAATTAAACTGTTTTTTGCGAGCAGAACATTTGGTATTTATAAGACATTTTGGGAAGAACCCAATTTATATATAGTATATCTATATAATAATATTTTGTTTGGTTAACGTTTGAGTGTATGGATGTTGTTTTATTAGATTGCAGTTATTTTGGTGAAATGCGGTTACGATTGCGACCCATAAATAAAAATCAGAAGCCCAGACTGTGATTCCAAGTCTGCAATAAAACAATTACTCTGAACATTATGAGTTAGAATTCTTCAAATTGAAAGTAGTTCGTCAAGTCCATTAAAAGCAATCTGGGTAGATGCTTTCACTTTTTATTTGGGATTATGAGCTAACAAATAAGTAGCTGTAAGAGTTTGATTTTGTTGGAGTTCGACTTAGGAATACTCTTTGTAATGTAGAAGAAATTAAAAGAAATAAATAAAGTTAAATTTTAATATAAATATTTTTAAAAACCTTAAATCTAAAATAAAACTCTTATACATTTATATGTACAATCTAAGCTAAACGTTATATAAAAGTCTATATGACCTTCTTTTGTAGTGTACACTTAAATGAAATTTATTGCCTCAATTTTGATTATACGACACAATACAAACCTTTCTGGTTAAACAATAATAAAACGGGTTAGCAGGGGAGCTATCTTTGGAGCATCTTAAAGATGTAACATGTTCACGGACATTTTCTGGAGAAGTTGGAGGAAAAGTCTTAGAAAATAAATCATTCTGATGGTAAGGAAAAAAATATGTTTTTTGACATTGAAAAAGTATATCATTTTAGTACGTCAGATAAAAAAATTCAGCATAGATTTTTTTAAATATTTATTTTTTAAATATTTATTTTTTAAATATTTATTTTTTAAATATTTAATGTGTTTATTTATTTCGTTTAGTGATCTGCTACTTCATAGTGATCGGGGATACCGCAAAACCGTGATCTGCTGCGTATTGGGACGTAACAGACTTAGCAGAGACACGAACCACAAATGTTAACCACAACGGCTGGTTCAAAGACGCTGTTAAATTATACTTCGAATTTATGTGCTCGTAATGCAGATTTATACAGCCAGAAAGAAATTTTGTTGTATTTTTAATGAACTTTAGCTTTTTGTTTCTGTTGTTGGTTGTTGGCTTCGCGGTTTCGTTTTGTTCGTGCTAAAAGTTGCCAAACATCCAGTAAATATTGGCCTGTAGTTAGTCGGTTGTGTTAACGCGGCTTCCGTTGCTTGCCGGCTAATTGATTCCCCACATTATCTCGCCCCCCTTGAAGATTAATGTTTGGCATTAGGAGGTGGTGGCTTATGCTAGGATTGATAAACAGTTTTCAAAATTATTTGCATCCATCGGTTGGAATTTCGTTTCGGTTTCGGATTCGGTTCTGTCTGGTGTTGAGTGGGGGAACTCACATATAGGTATGAATAGAACAAACTTGTTCTTAATTATGCCTAATACCTAATGTGAAATTTATAAACACTAGATTCTATAGCATTCACCAAACTAATTGAACCGGTTTCAGGATATATTCTGCCATTCTGCAATTTCCGATCCCCTTCATCCGAATTAAAAACCAAAAATGAATACGACGCACGCGTGTTTAGCAGTGCACATATTTGGCTATTTCAACAAAACGCTAAGCAAATACATTGTGTAGAATACACATTTGCGATGATATATACGGTCTTCTATATATATATATATATATATATAGATTTTAATGCAGATTTGAAACTCGTTTACCGTTGTATGGCATTTACCCAGCATTCATCTAATTAAACCGCAGGCAGAAACGTTGTTTTGATTTCGGATGAAGTAATCAGAGCTAATTTTTAATATTAGCGGGTAGATGATGGCCTGAGAACTCATTTAAATGCCGGAAACTTTGATCCGATCGGGTCAAAACTAGCACATCAAAATTCCGACAAATTGGCTGAGTCGCTAACAGCCATCTCGAATTACCTATGACTATGGCATATCGATTAGCAATCATTTGATTGACGACATAGTTCAAGTTATGACGTAGGCAGCTTGACTAACTCTGACTTTCAAACCAGATTTCATAGATGCCAACAGATCTGCCCTATAGATTGCGCAACACAACTTCTAAATGGAAATAAAGCTAAAAACCCCCGAAATTCTAAAAATAGTACAGCATAGAATTATTGATTGCGCCGGTCAACGATCGACCTAGCCATGCTCGGTGGGAATTCTTGGAATTCAGCCATCTTTAACGTCATAACCAAAGAGGATAATAATATGTTTGAATCAAGAAGCAATTAACGCAACAATCTGAAGTGAAAGATTTGTGTGCGATTATGGCTGCAAAAATAAACTGATTTAATTAAAATTCAAATCGATTGTATAACAATCGAGTTTGAGCGAAGGAATTTAAATGACCAACATTAAAAATCAGTTTAGAGTGCAACTTTTGGTTTGCGTAAATCGATTTTTCAATTGGCTCGGCGAAAGAACAGGAATATGGAACAGTGGGTTAAATTGGGATTGTGGCTGTCCTTGCAACGATCCAAGGCAAAGGTTAAATCGAGGAGGTAACTGCATCGGGAACCGGTTCTCATCAGATGACTGATCCTCATCTGCGGTTGATTCATACACCTGGATGACGTTGCGTGAAGGTCGCCCTTCGAGAGTGTGAATAATTGCAAAGCTTGAGGGGGGGAAATAATTTGGAGTCTTAAGCCACAAGCGGAACTTTGGAGAATTTATGCAAATCCGCGAATGCTCTCATAAATAAAACATTCCAATACGGTTTTATTATAGAACTTAATAGATACGAAATTAATTTATGCTTTTCGTCGCGCTAACCAGCCCGAAACGTGGCTCTAAACTAGATTTATGTGGGGGATCATTTAAAGAGTGCCATTGTCTATGTCTCGGAGTGCGAAGCGACTCCATCATCGCGATAGGCCCAACGACAAATTGGCTGTCATAAGGTGGAGCCACCCTGCTGGTTATCGATGGCAACTAGCTAAATATTTGCAGATTATCGAGCATGAAATTGCGCACCCATGCGGGACCTTCATTCCCCAAAAATCTCTGGCTCTTTGTCTTTCCGATCTCTCCACTTTCCGATCGTCCATATTTCACCGGTTTTTCTTGAATTCAAATTAAACTCTTTTCAAACAGCTCACGAATGGCAGCCCGTGCTTTTAAGTTATCATATGTATTAAAGTTGTCTTTTTGCTTTCTTCAGGTTATGATTTTTATTTGATTCGAGCTCATTTACGTGGATTCTATTCGGTTCTACTTTTTTTTTTTTTTCTTTGTCGTTAGCCCGGCCAAAATCTAAATTTGTCGCCAAAAATATAAAATTTCGAATATGACGGAGAACGAGATAGACCGTAAGTTTATGGGTGTCGTTCTGAGGGAGCTGCGTGGCCGACGGCTGAAGCAGAGACGTCAGCAGCAGCCGGTTAACCAACCCAAGCAGGTTCTGTTTAGTTTTCGGGGCTCCGACGAGAAGCTTCTGCCGTGAAATCTCTTTGGCTCATCCTAAGGCTCGCAGAACTATAAATAATGTAGACTCGGCCAGAAAAGGCACAGTCACAACTCTACCTTCGTGGTGTTGAATTGGTTCTGAGCAAAATGGTAAGATCGCAATCGGTAGATCGAGGATCATAACGCTGCACTCGGTGGTGGATACGAATACCGTGCTGGCAGACCGTGGAATACCTAAGGAATACCTACATCGCTGATCTCACCGCTCTGTGTTCTTCTTCCCAGAAATTCCTGATCGCATTCGCCCTGGTGGCCGTCGCCAGTGCAGATGTCTCCCATCTGTTCTCGCACAGCAACAACCTGCAGGATGATGGCTACCACTACGCCCCACCCCGCGCTCCCGTCGTCATCGATGTGCCCTACGTGCCACATGAGTCTGCCCCAGTAGTGGTCTACGAGGCCCCCAAGCCCAAGCCCACTCCCGCCCGTCCCGTCTACACCGCTCCTCCAGCTGGTGTCCTGAAGGACGATGGCTACCACTACGGCCAGCCCTCTGTAAAATTCGAGGTCGCCGCTCCTCCACCAAAGGTTGAGTACCTGCCTCCTCCCCCAACCAAGAAGGTGTACGTTGCTCCCCCGGTGTACGTGCCACCTCCAACCAAGAAGGTCGTCTACACCCCACCCCCACCACCACCACCACCGAAGAAGGTCGTCGTCTACACCCCACCCCCACCACCACCACCAGTGTACGTGCCTCCCCCAACCAAGAAGGTCGTCGTCTACACTCCACCCCCACCACCACCACCGAAGAAGGTTGTCTACACCCCACCCCCAACTGGAATCCTGAAGGACGACGGATACCACTACGGCCAGCCCTCTGTGAAATTCGAGGTTTCCGCTCCTCCCCCAAAGGTTGAGTACCTGCCTCCCCCACCAACCAAGAAGGTCGTCTACACTCCACCCCCACCACCACCACCAACCAAGAAGGTCGTCGTCTACACCCCACCCCCACCACCACCACCAGTGTACGTCCCACCTCCAACCAAGAAGGTCGTCTACACCCCACCCCCACCACCACCACCGAAGAAGGTCGTCTACACCCCTCCCCCAACTGGAATCTTGAAGGACGACGGTTACCACTACGGTCAGCCCTCCGTGAAGTTCGAGGTGTCGGCTCCTCCCCCACCAAAGGTTGAATACCTGCCTCCCCCACCAACCAAGAAGGTGTACGTTGCTCCCCCAGTCTACGTGCCACCTCCAACCAAGAAGGTCGTCTACACCCCACCCCCCACCACCACCACCGAAGAAGGTTGTCGTCTACACCCCACCCCCACCACCACCACCAGTGTACGTGCCTCCCCCAACCAAGAAGGTCGTCGTCTACACCCCACCCCCACCACCACCACCGACCAAGAAGGTTTACGTGGCCCCCAAGGTCGAGTACCTGCCTCCCGTCCAGAAGGGATACAGCTACCCCAACGACCCCCAGCCCGCGTTCAACTTCTAGGCTCTCGAAGCTAATTGTAAATACACAGATTAAGTATTAGCCATATTTGAGAACGAATTGTGAATGAGTGGTCTGGTCTTTCGCAGGAAAGCCGAATCCACTTGAAATAACCGTGAAAATAAAAGTCTTTCGATTTTAAAAACTGCCTTTGAATTATTAAAATGTATGCATATTTACATCTGACTTCTAACGAAGAACCTTTTAGAGACGAAAACTGAAGTGCTGTCGGGGCATTTTTGCTAAACATTTTAATTGGATTTAAAATAAAAACTCGTTTGGTTTTAACTCCTAATGCTAATTTGATTAGCTAATCAGAACCAGGTGAAAGAAGTGCGAATAGAATGCTAATCTGTTCTTTTTAGCATGGATATAAAAATGATCGCAAACAATAATGCTTATATAATATATTTTTAGAAGAATTTATTATGAATTTTTAATTTTCTTTTTAATTTATGATGAATTTTTAATATTTTTCCACAAAACTTTAATTTAAACTTTAATTTAAATTTAAACAAAACAGATAATCAGACTTTCAACTTTCGACTTAAAATGTTGTAGGTCTTATATTTTTTTCAGGTATCGGTAAAGTGTTATTTATCATTAAAGCTTTGATATTTTTTAAGGCTACGTCAAAGCTTAAACATTTGTCTTTATTTTGTAAGATGCCTTTTAATATGTTTTATGTTTTACTGGCTCCTATTGAATCCTAAAAGTATGCAGTGTTAATCATCATACCAAGCTAACAGAGATGTTAAATGTTAAATTGTTGCTTTGGAAAATTCTAAAAAGGAAGCTTAGACTTTATTCTTAGTTCAATGACACAGAATGTTTAATACATCACCAAAGTCAAACAATTCATAATTTGCTTTAATTCTTTAATACCATAACAATACAATGAGATTATGCAAATCGAAATTCCTTTTTAACAAAGAATCTTAACTGACTAAGAAATATGCGTTATTAATCAGCATTAGGTTTTAAAATACTACCGTATTCCCACCAATAAATTAAAGTTCTCTAAAATCCGGAATATAATCTGGTTAACGTTTATTCCAGTTCTAAAAATTCAATTGTTTTCCGAATCGCCTTTGTTTCGCTTTCTTTGGTTAATGAATCAGTGGGTGTGTCTCCATTCAGATCCCGTTGGCACTTCACAGCAGGTGTAATTTCCGCGAAGACATAAACCAACCTAATCAATGGCCGACTGACCAGTGCAATCAATCTTCCAATGTCCACCGAACGGCGATGCATACTATAATCAAAATGTCACGTTGGCATGGATAAATTGTTCGATCGGCGGCAGTTTTGCAGCCGTAAAAAAACCAATGAAACGGAAACGTGTTGAAGCGTCGCTTTAATGCGGCTTATATGCTCAAAGCAACGGGCAGGGCTGCATAATTGAATGACTATCGGAGCCACTAAGATCACGTGGCTGTGGGCAAACACTACTGATCCGTCAGAATCATTAATTCGAATACAAATCGACAAACAAATGCGCCTGAGACAAAAGCGACGCACTGACACTTGACCCCACAAAACAAGTCTTAGCCTTGGCAATGGCGATGTGGATGTGGCTATGTGGATGATGCCGTTGTGGTTGGAGATGGAGATGTTGTAGCATTTCGAGTGGAGTGCCTGATCGGCAGCAGTAGCTCCACCACCACCATTTGGCCCAAGACATCGATTCGTTTGTTTGTTTATCTAGGGCCGTTCACTGTTTCGGCTTATGTTTTTTTGGCTTCAGCACAGTCATCACGATCGGCTTGGCGCAATTAATAAAATGAGGCAAATGTGGCGAACATATAGAAGTATAAATAGTTTGGGCCCGATCGCCGGCGCCTGCATTCGCTTGAGTAACGTTCCGCTGGCAGCGACAACTATTACGGCATTCTCAAAGGTTCCCCCACCAAGAAAACCCCGGCCAAAGATCATCGAAACATCATGGTAAGCGATTGTCTTCAGTAGCTTGCCACCGGCACTCATATGGATAATAATACCACCCAAACTGATGTTCATTCAGATGCTGTTCGATTCGAAATTACTGCAATTTTTGAAGGAATTAATAAAAAGAATACAAAAAGAAACGTGTTTCCTACTTGATATTAGCTCAGCATAATTGCTCATCAAATTCGCACAAGTCTTTGTTGGATGAATTAATCATTTCGAAAATATCTTATTAATAATTCTATCAAATCAGGTTGTTTTTATTTGGAATGATATTGAATGCATCATCAGAAAATTTGCATAATTCGCATTGAGCATTTAGCAATTTATTGATACTACTTAGGTTTAGGAAATCTTGTTTTTTATAAATAGAACTGAAAAATCAATATATAGATCATTAAGAGTATACGTCATACTTTATGGATTTTTGATTAAGTTATTTCGAAAGTGAAAAAAATATTACAAAATGTATTTCCAATTTTCATTTCAGCGCCTATTGATAATCAGTGTTTTCCTTCTGGCAATTTGTCTTGGCGCCCGAGCAGATGTTTCCCAATTGGTGAGATCTGGTAATGGATTTTTATACGACGTGCCCAAGGTCACGGAACTGGAACTGGAGGTCAACAACGAGTTTCCCACTGGCGAGGAGTTTCCCCAAGATGCCATTCCCGTGGCTCCTTCCGATGCAGAACTTGGCCAGGCTGAAGATCATGAAGAACCAGTGGTGACAGCAGCATCTAGACCTGCTTCATTCAAGAAAATCCACGGATACAAATACAAGGTGCCCAGCCGGCGCTTCAAGAGCTAAATAACCGCCTTAGTAATTTGAATTTGTACCAAAGTTTCGTAAAGATAATAAAAACATAAAATCAAAATCAGATCTAGTTGTGTTCCTTTCACAATTCAGGCCCTTGGGCAGGGCTTATTCCAAATACTTTTTGCCTTGGAATCGGTTCAGAACGAGATTCACAGCTTTAAGTGGTGGTGGCTTTATAAGACATAAAAACCGAAGCAGAAAATGTCTCTGCCTGACCAAATATTTCTAATCCAAACCGGTTGAGGAGTCACAAAACAAAATTTGCACAGATTTGCGAGAGACCATAAAGACTGAGGCCTAGCTGAGCGCTGAGATTAATGCCCATAAAGAACGACAATTAATTTCATAATCGGCATAAATTACGCGTCTTTTGGCAAAAGGCGAGCAAAAACGAGGATGGTTCAGCACACGCCGTCCAATTCCGGCACTTGACAATCGATCAGCCCGATCTCTACCAGGCGGTTCAACAACCCATCGTTTTTTGGCATGCGATGAAACAAAAAGTGATAGTTGAACCTAGACCAGTATCGTCTGTTTGTTTATGCAATCGCGTCTTAAGTTGCTAATCCTACTAATTAGTTGATTTAACGCTGCTGTTAGAGCAAAGGGAATTTTTCAAAAGCTTAAGACATTATCTAAAATAGTTTTATCGGACTGTAAACACCGTGTCTAATTAGAACACATTCTGTTAATATATTCAAGAATACGGGATTAGTATTTACTGATTAAATGGAAATTTATTCCAGTCTTATATATAATAACGTTATTTCAGTATTTACAATAAATCTTAATTTGAAAATGATCTTCTTTTTTCTGATGCTCTCACTTTTCCTTAAGCTGTTTACCATCTTCTACGCCTCTGCACTCTAACTCTACTGATCTGTAACTGAAATGCTTCCGCAAGATCATGTCCAGCAGACAGCTTCATTGTCCAACTGTCCATGAAACTCTGACCACTCAAACTTCTTGAGTTGCAAAAGGCAGCGCGCGCCATAATTATTATAAATGAAGTCTAAATGATTTATGACAGCCAGCAGAGCACCCTTACAACGCTCCCAGCGGCGGAACTAACTCTACAGATGCACAGAGAGAAATATTAGCAGCTGTTGTGTGGAGTTTTATTAGTTTAAACGAAATATTATTCAAAATAGTTATAATTAAGCCGGATTAAATAAATCAATTTCGACTTAAGATGCGTAGGTTTTACTGGTAGCTACGAACTATTAAACTACTTAATTAATAATATCTTAAATGCTTGTTTAAACATATTTATAGACTCTTCTGGGGCATCTCGTATTCTGATCTTAGCCACTGAAGGTAATCACTGCATGTTCATTTAAATTAGATTTAAAATTTGATAAGCAATCTGTGAATTTAAAACTATTTCTCTGTGTGCTGGGCTTTGAGCCCTATGTTCCGTCGGAAGTAGAGGCTTACTTTTAACACTGGAACAATGACCGCAGCGGTAACCCAAAACCGAAGTGACGACGTTGATGAAAAGCGGCTAGGTTGGGTCCATGAAGTCCATAATGGAGCCGAAACAATGACGGCGATGTTGACGCTGCTCCTCTGTCAACTTCGGCGCACTATTGTGGCGCTAATCATTCATATAAACATAGAGCTACAGATACAGATACATATGGCTATACAGCTACAGATACATTTTTACCGATACAAAGAATGCCGTGGGGCTAGCGGAGTTATATCGATTTAAATGATAATAATTGGCCTCTAGAGCGCCATGGACAGTATCGATCTGTTTTAGAATTTTGACTATAAATAAACCGTCGTCGATACAAACGGTCAATCATTTGTGGTTTAAGAGCTCAAGGTGTCAGACATATCATAAAAGACATGGTGAGTGCGGTCAGTTGGGGATCTACTACCTGTATTTAACGAATTTTGGAACCATTTCAGAAGTTCTTCATTTTGGCAACCTGCCTACTGGCCTACGCAGCTGGAGATGTTTCGCATTTGCCGCTAGAACTCCTGGATCAGCATCATGAGCATGGCTATGGCTATGATTACCCCAAGCCGGAGGTACCATTTGTGATTACTGTGACGACGGAGCCACCACCGCCACCACCACCAACGCCAGTGCCTACTTACCTCCCTCCTCCACCACCCACTACCACTACTACAACTACCACCACAACCACTCCTGCTCCTACTCCTGCTCCTACCTACCTTCCTCCCCCACCACCCACTACCACCACTCCTGCTCCCACTCCCGCTCCTACTTACCTTCCTCCTCCACCACCTCCTACTACTACCACCACTACCACTACAACAACAACGACACCTGCACCCACGCCGGCACCCACCTACCTACCTCCTCCACCACCACAACCGGAACCGGGCTACCACTACGATGCGCCAGCCCAAGAGTTCATCTTCTAAGTCAAAGCAAAAAAGCACTGAACCACCGAACCACCGGACTGAACATGGAAGATTTCCCCGGATTAGTTTTGTTTTGAATCGTTCCACTAGGCTTACGTTTACATAAGGCTTAAACTATATCAATAAACGCTGTTTTGTTAACCCCATTAGCATCGGTATCTCCCCAAAATGTATACTGGGATGGGGACTAAAGTGGTCCAGATGGCCCGAGTCAATCACCGTCAATTGTCTGGGATTTCGTCGCATCCGCTGCATATTCATGAGCTGCTTTGTTGTGCAGAGCCAATTTGGCCGAAATCGCATTAATTGCTTGGAGTAGAGATAGATACCACACGCCGATAATTGGCCGGCCTCAAGTCCATGAAAACCAAGAAAAGTGTGAAGAAAACCAAAGAGCCAGTTGGTCGAGGAAGCTCTGATCTTTGTATAAAAGCGATGGACGGCGACGTTATTGACATTACTACCTGTTGTCAGCAAACAGCAGCAACATCATCTCAATCAGTGGATAATCTCTAGGAGAAAATGGTAAATAGGAGCAGGATTATATCCTCTGGTGGTATCTTACCAAGTCACTTTTCGTTGCAGAGACCTATGCTGATCCTTGTGGCCCTGGCAGGCTTTGGCGCCTGCGTTCGGGCAGACATTTCTCACCTGTACGGAGGAGGAAGCCACCATGATCATGGCCATGATCACCATCACCATCATGATCACGATCACGATCATGATCATGATCACCACCATTTGGAATCCCATTCGCACTCTTCGCACGATCATCATGATCTGCACATTGATCTGCACTACCAACCGGACTACCAACCAGACTACCACCATCATCATCATCACGATGCCAAGTCTAGCATTCCCAGCGGTTACAGCTATGGAGCTCCAGAGAAGCCACGTCAAAAGTACCTTCCTCCCAAGGTCTCTCTCCCACCGCCACCACCTCCTCCACCCAAGCCTACTTACCTTCCTCCCTCAAAGCCGGAGGTGAAGTACCTGCCCCCTGAGCCAGTGGTCAAGTATCTGCCACCCAAGATCGCTCCCAGCCTGCCACCGCCACCACCACCCCCAGTAGTAGCCCCCAAGCACACCTATCTTCCTCCCAGTCAGCCTGAGCCCACGTACCTTCCTCCTCCAACACCTGAGGTCAAATACCTGCCTCCTGCTCCAGCCCCAAAGTATCTGCCACCTAAGGTTGCACCCGTTCTGCCTCCTCCACCACCACCACCACCAGTGACTCCCAAGGCATTGTACCTGCCTCCTGCCGAGCCGGAGATCGAGTATCTTCCACCTGCCAAGCCTGTAGAGAAGTATCTTCCCCCTGCCCACCCTGTAGAGAAGTATCTTCCTCCTCCAAAGCCAGTTGAGAAGTATCTGCCTCCCAAGCCCGAGCCAAAGTATCTGCCACCTCACACCAAAGTGGACTTCCACATCCCAATTCCGTCGTACGCTCTTCCCTTGGGTCCTGCCCCAAGTTCAATCCATGATGCCGAGCCGGGATACCACTACAAGCCACCACTACGTCGTTTCAGGCACTAGGAAACCTAGCCAGCCACCGAAACTACCAACCGCACCCACAATAACCAAACAAATCTCATAAACGCTGCATCTAGCTTTAAGCTGTACAATTTAAAATCAATTTAGACCACAAAATAAAATGAAGAAGTCAATATTACACCACACGAACTGTTTCCCCATCCTCAAGGTCAAATACATCGAACGCAAATTGCTGTCACCCTGCCCCCGAGGGATCCATGTGGATTTCAATCTGACCCCCAAATCTAATTGCGGCCAATCAACCGAAGTAGCCAGACAGCTTCGGTTTAAACCTTAGTTTGGCTCGATCATCACCTGCAGTGTCGATAATTACTGTCTTTTCGGATGAAAAATGATGTTAGTTTTTGGGTTGAAGGTATACTGATAGGAATTAATCGGTGGATTCAGTATCTGTTACAGAAAGATTCGAGCCGAACCAAAATCGCTAATCGTCAATTGCAGCCGGCAGCTATTAAGCGACAGTTGACCTCCTTTAGTGTTGCCCAGAGATGGGGCAAGTCTTTCAAAGGTCTTCCAATCAAAAGTGTGGACTGATTTAAATCATTAATCTTTTAACGAATTTGAGATGCTCTTGCGTAAAAGGGCATAAGCTTGATGTATAAAATATTTGGTCGTTTCCATAAGGTATTCTTAAGTCTTTAAGCTGCTCTTTTAAGTCAAGAACTTACAGAATTATGACAGCTTTTCCTAACTAATAAACAAAGCTTAACTTCTATTACTTAGGAAAATATATCCGCACATTAGTTGAAATAGTTTATATAAGATAGAAGGAGTTTAGTTTCTATTTTAAGAAACTTGCCGAAGAGGATGCAAGTTTCATCAATTAGTTAACTCTCTGACTAACTAGACTCTTGCTTACTAACTCCAAAAGTACGTCCAACTATTAATCCCAATCATTGCCTAATCAAAAACTATTTTAAATACTTGGCAAACGCAGCGGAGATCGTAAAACCCAACACGTTTATGGCTTCCAGCCATAAAGAGCTCTCTGGCCGGGCCAAAAAACAAAAGCCAACGCAACGAGATGACTTCGAATTAAGAGATTTAATAAAAATTGAATGCCAATTCGCAATACCAATACCGGCTGTCAAAGGGGCGAGACCCCTAAACGCCGATATTTAGCTGACAGCCGGGCCATGTAGATACGAGTATAGTCAGATCGCAGCCAGATCGTCTCTCACGGCGTCGGCGTTGGCCACAGGTAATGACGTGACGAGATCGCTTTATAGCGACCACTGTTTCAGGTTCAGGTTCTCTAACTGTATAAATAAAGAAGCACTTGCCGGAAACTGTATCACTTTGGTAGAGGCCGTCGTCGCAGCAAGAACGTTCCACCAGAAAAAATGGTTTGTGCCTTGCTCCTTAGGGATATTCATTTCGGATTCTAAATTAATTTGTATTTCAGAAAGTCCTTATCCTGGCTGTTTGCAGCTTGGCTCTTGTAGCCGCTGATGTTTCGCATTTGTTCGGTCATGATCACCATGATCACCACGATCATCCTGGCTACAACTATGACCCACCGAACATCCCCTTTGAACTGCCCACTCCGGCTCCAGCTTATCTGCCCCCGGAACCTGTGACTGTTCGTGTGGCTCCAGTGACCCTGCCGCCTCCAGTTTATCTGCCTCCAGTCACCGTGAAGCCCGTTATCCCAATTGTCAGGACTCCCAAGCCAGCCTATCTGCCTCCTCCACCACCAGTTGTGAAGGTTACCCCACCTAAGCCTGAATACCTGCCACCTGCACCCGTTGTGGAACAGCCCCGCTATGTGGCACCAGCCGTTGTACCCACCTTCAAGATCCCGATCCCATCGTACGCTGCTCCTCTGGAGGAACCCGTCAACACCTACCTGCCGCCCCAGGAGATCGTTGTGCCCAAGGATGACGGATACCACTATGATCCCCCAGCTGAACCGTTCCTGTTCTAAATAAGCATTCATCCCAAGCCATTTTTATTTGTTGTCTTCGAATGTCACGTGTATTTACCTGTAGTTATTTATTGTTTACCAAGCTCAGCCTGCACTAAAAACGAAATAAAGCTTAGCACTGCGAAAACGTATATTCCCAAGTTTTATATATCCTGTTCTGATCTTGAACTTGAGTCGGGAAAATCCTAACACAAGAGTTGCCAAGACGAAGACCACGAACTCAGCTTAAGTGCCTCTGATAGACAGCATAATTGCCCCTGGGAGTGCTAAAAATATCTCTGAACGAGGCAGAACAGTTTCATTCATGGACAATCCACATTGTGGTTATTTTGGGAAACTAAACTGAGTAATGCTGTATGGCCAATTCCGGCTTGATTTATTGACATCCCAAACAAACCCAGCTTTGAGTAATTGAACTTAGCAGCCATAACGGCTATGGCCATAAGCTCTAATTTTATGGGCCGAATTGTGGCTGAGCGTCAATAAACGATACTCTTATAATTTATGATACCACCTTAATTGCCCCAGACAATCGCTGGCATTGTTTAAGAGGTGTGAAGATACGCCTTCGAGCCCCTGGGGTTTCGTTAAATCCGCCCACGATGCTGTGAAAGTGAAATTAATGCGATCAGGAAGTTAAATATAAGTTTTCGGGGCTGCCATCAATGGAGAAGAACATTCGCAGAATGTTTGTTGACAAAATGAATTGGCTTTATGCAAATGTACTGCATGATCTAATGGCTGGGAACCCGTTTCTGTCAGCAAATGCAAATTAATTAGATTATTACGTTTGTCTTCGGTTGAACGCCCAACAATGATTTACCTAAGAGTTCTTATCTACGGTTGTTGCTCTTAGTAGAGCCGCTTAAATAAACACTGCCCATAAATTATATCTCTCATCATTGATTTTAGAAAGCAAAACTGATGACCCCAGTCGACCAGGCGGTCTAGCCTGTTTCTTATTCGCCACTAATGAAACCAACTATTCGTTTCCTTATTTTATTTCGGCACGATCGATTTGCTGATGCATTATAGCCGAAATGCTAATTAGAAGCCTGCTTATATCGGAGCATTCTAGACGTAGATCATAACTTTATTAGTATATCAAGTTTGCATATGCATACTGTGCGTATGATTAATATAATGCAATTGATGGCTAACACCTAAAATTCGAACTCGGTCGGGAAGAAAATTAATTGATATTAAAAACGATACAATGTACAGAGAACGATTTATGAAATGTAATTTAAAACGGTTATTAAACTTTACCTACACGATAACCAGATCACACCAGCATTAATTGAATTAAGTTATTTTTTATTTTTTCATGTGGAATGCAAAAATACCTTAAATTACCCTAATATTCAAAAACCTTTATTTTTTAATATAAATATAATCTTAAATATTGAACATAAATATTTAAAACATAATTTGATTTCTCATTAATTATATATTTGCGCTTGTGAAATGTTCTCTGCTCTTCTTTTTTTTCTCTTAACTGAATTTTGTTATTCCTCTATCACATTTATGTAGCCTACTTTTCGGCAAAGCATTTAAAAACGATCGACTTTTTGAAGCCTCCTCTATATATGCAAAAAATTGAGATAGTATAACAGTTTTAACAACTATTCCAAGAAGCAACAAGGTCCTTTTAAACACCATTGAACCATAAAGCTGGAAAGACTTAAACGTAACTTTTAAGCCACTTTAATGAATAATATTTATTTTTACTTATAACAATAGAAAAAAATGGAAAGTAAGTCTGTTAAAAAATACATTTCCTGACTAGCCCAGACAACATTTTTTGCATCATTAATAATTAAGGCGATTTTAAGGTGTGTAAGTCCATGTAATCAACAACAAAACCGCAACAAAAACCGATGCATAACTGCCACTTGACCCGGGGAATCGATGGAAATCCCAGCCAAGACGGAAGCAACTCCATTGGTGATGGATACCATGCCTGTCATCGCTGACACACACAAAGGAGCGAAGTGAAGTGGAGTGAATAGATCGAGACCCAGTTTGTCATAGTTCACTGACAAAAGTGACTGTTAATGCCCCTGAATAGAAGCTGAGGCAAGGCAATCAAATTGACAATCAATCCATCAATCAATAGCACATTGTCTAGCAGATCCGACCACCCGGACAAACTATGGCTTTTAAAACGGATTGTTTACACTTCTGATTTGTCTATGTGGCCAGTTGTTGGTTATATTTTTGGGACAACTTAGCAGGTTTAAGCTTCTGCTAAACCGGTTAAATTTAATGTATTTTGAAAGTAATCCAGTAGATTTATGTATTTCTATTTGTTTTCGCTGTGGCTAGTTTCGGTTTACGAGCCGTCAAGAGTCATCCAAGAAGCTGCATAAATAAATCTACCTAATTGGCCGAAGAAGCCGCACCACTTAATCCCAGTGTTGTCTTAATGAGTGCCAACACCACGCAACACACGAATTATTTCCCAGCAAACAGGGCAATACAAAACTCGAAATAAGTACGCAGATACGCAGCTTCCGTATGCAAATGTCCATATCAGATGGCAAATACATTTTCCTCATGGCATTCCGTGATTAATGAGAAAACCACGACAACAGGGGGTACTCATCAAATCGAGAACGAATCTTTGTACAATTTCGACACATTTTATTGTGCCTTGATGAGCTGTGAATAATATAATTAAAACCTGATACTCTATACCTCCCCCGCCCCCTTCGGCTGACCAGTTTATTGGCCTTGGCAAAATGAATGAAATAGTCGAAGCAACAAAAATTTGTTTATCATTTTTACAAATAATTTACGTTTATTTATTCGTACTTTACTTGGCAATTCAACAATAACTGAATACTTCGTTTTTCGATCTTTGTCTTTAGAACATCATTTGTCTCTTTGTACTTCGCTCTTTATGCTTTTGATCTTGGCTTGTTCTTGTTGGTCGTTTCTTTGATGGTTTCGTTCTAGGATTAGGATAGTTTTAAATACGATAGTTTGGTAGTTGGATAGTTTGATAGTGGGGATCAGTGCGTGGTAATGTGTGTTTGATTTAGGTATTTGTTAATGCTTGATACGGATTGGAGTTTGATTGGTTTTTTTTTTTTTTTTTGTGTTGAAGATTTGGTGCGTATAGAGTTGTTGCGGGCAGGTGAGGAGAGTGGGAGAAGGAAGAGAAACGACAAAATATATAGGAGGAATTACTAGGATTGTCGAGCATGTGTAGTTAAATATATTTAAGAGCTAGCTGCATCCTCTTAGTAGCGGCGCAGGCGGTAGAAACGTCTTACATAGACTGGACGGCGGTACTGGTAGCCGGCCCTGCTACTGTAGGTGTGACCCACCAGCTGCTGCTGCTGTGGCACCACCACCTGCTGCTGAACCGCTGGAGCCACATACTGGGCTCTTTGGACGATCTGCTGCTGGACGGGCTGCTGGACGAAAGACTGGGCCACGGCCACAGGACGAGCAACAGGGCGAGCCAGGGGAGCAGGGGCAGCGAAAACAGGACGAGGAGCAGCGGCCACAGGACGAGGAGCAGGAGCAGCAGCCACTGGTGCGGGCTCGTCGATATCAATGTATTCCGGCTCGGGAGTAGCAATATCCTGGGGATTGGGTCCTTGGGTGGCGGAGTCGGGCAACTGAGCTCCAGCAGCAATGCCCACAAGGGCCAAGGCCAACAGAATGAAGAATTTCTGGAGGTAAAAGGAAAATGTTGTTAATGAAAAAATCTTTTTGCTGCCCTAGCTATATCCTTGACCTGGCTCTGAACTCGTTAACTATCCTAAGTACCTATAAAGCTTTGATAATGATATAACAAAGTTTATTTATCGCACACTTTGTTAAGCCTAACTTTATAACCATTAAGCCATTAAAAACTAATTTGGATTTATGTTAATAAAATCATATCTTTATAAACATAAAACTAGTTCTTAATGAATTATAAAAATATTTCGAAATCATGAATATTAAAATACATAAAAATACAGATAATTATATCAAGTTAGTGAACTCTAATTTTAGGGTATTTTTACACTCCACTTATATTTTTCTAAGCAATGAGAATCTGCTTGCATCACTAGGATGAATATGAAAGAATTTTGCCAATGAGTGGGCTTGTTATTTTTAGAGCGTTCTGGAGCATAAATATGTGCGTGACTCCGGCACGGGTGTGAAGTGAAACAAGTCCCGAGGACCACTCGAACCGGGACAGCGCGTTGATGAAGTCGTTTAGAACACTCGAGATTGGGTTGGAAAGCACTTGTGGAGAAGAGTTATTTTTGGTTTCTTATTTAAATAGTTTTGTGTTCGCGAATCACTTGGTTTTCGATTTCAGTTCATATCCTGCTCGAGGCAAGAGGAGATCACTAGAATTTATTATCCTTGCTGCCAGGATCACATACCATTTTCGTTTGTTTTGGTTTTTGGGTTTCACGAAATTTTCTCGAGCAGAAGCAATCGAGCAATTTACACTTAAGAAGTTCAAAGCACAAATGATGATGAGCTGGTCAGTGGGTATGAAATTTATACTATATCGCCGGTTCGGTCCGTCCGGTTCGGTTCAGTTCGGTACGTGGGTCTAAGAGAGTCTAAGCAGAGCGCCAGCGACCGCCAAAAACAAAAACCAAAAACCCGATGAAACACAAACCGCACACCGCGATAAAAATAAGGCAAAAACAAAATATTAACAGCAGAAGCGGCACCGTTCAGCACCAAAAACAACACAACGATAGCAGAAGCAATTCAAATCAAAATTTAAATTAAATGAAACGAAACGAATTGAGTAGAATCGACGACTAGAAGAGGCTGCTGGAGATGCCAATGGGCTATGATGTGCTCTCTGGACCCTTTGGCTAGTCACTTCGGTGTCGTCACGAGCCATGACGCACAAACAAGTCAAAAGGCACTTAAAGAACATATACCTACACTGTTAGAAAGGGATATTGTTCTATATTTGTAAGTCTCTTTAAGTTCGTTGCCTAAGTCTTTTAAATTATTTCAAGAAAATATTGTTGTTTTCTGTAGAAATCATATCAAAGTTTGTCGCTTAAGTCTTTTGATTTTCAGAGCAAATTCCTATGATAAAATTGGTAAGAAATGCAGGACATAGAGCAAACTTATATTTCTCAGTGCATCTACTCTGATTCTAACGCCATTTGACTCCTCAGCACGTGCCTCAGTTGAAGTTTGTTGCCTAAGTCTTTCGTTTTGTCTCCTGCATGAAATGAATTTGCATAATATTTTATTAGAATAATATTTTCTTACTGAAGTGCCTCTATTTCAGTACGCTAAATCCGAAGCAAAACCTATCCAAGAGGAAGATTAGTCATCAAGTTGATAAACCAGGCGGATATCCACTGATTATGTTTTTCATTTTTGGTTTTTAATAGACAAAACTTGACTTTATCATGTCAATTTGTAGATTGTTTGCCCATCTGCCCGCCGACCTGGTAGCCCTCTACTTCATTCATTGGATTGTCTGTTGGCTTGATTGTTTGTATCTTCACTTGACCTTAGTGGCAACAATAAGCAAATTTAACGGCTTTTGGGCATACATCATTTCCGTTTCTCATGCGTGTGTGTGGGGAAATACATTCACCTGCCACCGTCAAGTGAATGAAGCCACTTGAGCCAAAGATGCAGTGCCAATAAAAATGATTTGTTCGATATCAAGGCCTTCTGAAAAAGATTAAGTGGCACAAAGACAGGAAATGTTTAAGCTATTTTCGACTAAGATACCAACAGACATTGTAAAGATGTTACCATCTATAAAACTATAGATAAAGGTCCACTTTAAAATGGTTCTGAGTAGATCATGTGACATCATTTCGACTGCCTTTCACTTGTATTGATTGATGGAATATTTGTCAACGGTGAGAGATGAAACATACAAGCTATATGCAGCATTTTTCATAATCTACCCAAAACAATAATAATAAACACCGAAAAACAATTTATTGTGTGTTTTTACGGTTATTAGAAAATTTAAAATGTAATTAATAATGCTTTGGTCCGCTGGCAACTTAGGTTTCACATTCATAAATTTGATCTGCCGCGAAAAACATTCATTATTGCCCGCTTATGCCATTTGCGGCCATTGTCTATTGAGTCAGCGATTTGACTTGCAAAATGTGTCATTTGCGTCTGAAAAGCATCGTTCTACCAATGGTTATAATTCTTTGGATCCGTAAATCAATGACAAGGGCGGGGCAGATTTATGCGGCCAACAATCGATTTCAATATAGTGCAGCTGCCTGCCTGCCTGCCTGTGATAATATTTATATTAACGGACTCTTATTTATGTTAATGCCGATATAAAATTAATATCCCCCCGTTAAATATGTTTTTGATCTTTCCATCATCGTGTCTTGCGGCCGGAGCCAAGGCGACTACTTTTGCCCAATTTGCATACAGGAACCAGATATCGCACCAAGTGAATCAAAAGCCATGAGCCGCCATATAGGAGTCTCGGAGTCTTGGCTAAATGCCGGTAATCGAAGATTCTTTTAATTTATGACCCTGTGCCTGATGATACCCAGAATCCAGTCGAGTTCACGTGCCTCTCGACACATTCGTTTTGTTTTGCTCTAAGCGTTCATACATATTAAGCATGCGACCTGTTGTCCGGCCGGGGTTAAACACTGAAATAAATACAGATTTCGTGGGCAAGCGTTGGGTGTGTTTACATGCGATTCCAACCACCTGATAAGGACTACAAAAGATGCCCACCCGAGTTTATTTTTATTTGAATATTTTTTCATAGCCGAATCTGTTACCAAGAGATTTTGTTTAGGGTAAGACACGCCTCGTTATCTGCTCGCCAGTTTCGTTTAGCATTTGAATATGCGCGTGTGAATAAACAGAAAATAAAACATTTTAAGCGGTCCGTTTTGTTTCTTGACATCTTTCTTAGCAAATATAACTCTAAGGCTTAGATGAGCCCCAAAGAATTGAGCTTAACGCCAAGCTGTAATATCTTTTTTAATTAACCTTGCCTAGGCGAAGATTCTCAAGCAATTCTAGCTTTCCCGCAGCTTTTTTTATCACGATTCTAGACACAAAGCCTCGTAAATAGTTTGTGGAGTTTTTTATTTATATAAGCTTCCGCACATTCACCAGCCAAGTCGGCGAGAGGCAATATGAATATTCAATATTTAACGCAAAAAATTATAACAAACAACAACCGAGGCACAGCAAATATATCATCTTGAAGAGCCAATTGAAAACTTTGGCATACTCTTGATGAAAAAACATATATGAGAGTGGCAAGCATAATGCTCCAAAAAGTTGAGTAACCCTCTGGATAAGGTAGTGATGATGATGATGATCTAGGCCCAGAAATATTTATTGCAACACCTCAAAATGTTTGAGTTACTTGAAAGATTTATAACCGCCTCAATAAATTGTCTTAAAATAGCTTACAAATGCTAATGCTTAGTCTCGTTTCCGCCTCTGCATTTGACTGAAATAAATGTTTTTAGCAATTAACGTCGATCAGTCACTTGACCTACAGTTAGTTTTTGATTGAAAAAAAGCGAAGTATTATCTGGAATGGCAACAGGTTGTTTTGCAGGTGTTTCGACTTGTTTAATGTTTACCCGGCCAGGGCAGATTCGGCATAGATAATTCTGGTTCTAATCGTCCCATCCCCAGTCGTAGACAAACCGGCGGTCTGGGACACGCGCACAGTGAAAGCTGCCGAAGAAGAACGTTAACATTTAATGGGAAGCATAAATTAATTATTGAAATTAGCCAGAATCGACATAAAATAAAAGCCAAATGGTCACGAGAATCGAAAGGCGATTGAGAATGAGAATGGCCACAAAGAGCTTCATCTAATCATTGTTTAACTTAATAATTAGTTTTTTATTATAACCCCCCTATAATTTGTTTCGCAACAACAGCAAACAATGAAATCGATGCCGCCCGAGGGGCAAAAAGCATCAGCGATGTCTCGACGTCGTCGGTGGCTTATAGCCCCAGCAATTTAGCCACTTTTGGCACCTTTTTGGCCGGCTCGTGCCGCCAGCTAAGACATGTGAGCTGGCATTTTGAACTTTGACTTTGAATATAATTATTATCAATACAACTCGACACCAGTTGAAGCCAGTGAACGAGTCATGTCTTTTCGAATGGACAAAGTGTATAATTTAATGGAACAATTTAGACAATATGTATCATATTTTGCAATGTGTGCTCAGATTATGTTTACCAGTTTGGGGGATTGTTCAAGTATATTTCTTAGTCAGGGGCATGACCTATTGTCACATATTATAAATGGTATAGAGATCTGTAACCTTCAGTAGTCACCCAAAATATAATAAAGTAAAGTAAAAAGTAAGTAAAGTAAAGTAAAAGTAAAAGTAAAAATTAAAGCCAAGCACGTTCTATTGTAATTACTTCAGCTTAAAAAGGGATTTTTATTATTAATAAGATTACGAGCAACTCAAAGCCCAAAGAGCCTTCTAAACTTCCTTTTCTGAGCTGCTATATAGGCTTACGGGAAACTTCTAGAAATTCATTGTGCTTTGGGAAATTAGCAAAGGCCTACTTGGACATCGATCGGAAATATCCAAAAGCAATTTACAATGGCAAAACTTTTGTTTTTCATTGTCTGCCTGTTCCTGACATTGGGTCTAATCAGAGCTTATATACCGCCCAGAACTACCACACCACCTCCTCCTGAACCAGAACTGGATGATGTTAAAATGTATAAAGTCTGCCCTGACCACAATTTAAGACCATGCATGCCATTGTAAATGCAACTTCAACATGCATGCAAATTGTTATTAAACAGAACATTTAAAATTCATTTTCTTTGCTTGAATTACTTTTAAGAATGCAAAAGATCCATGAGGGAAGAGGGGAAAATAAAAACTTAACTTTAAAAATGTCCGAACACGTTTGTGTTTTTAATAATATCAAAAGCACATCTTAGATTTTTATCAGCAGGTTTGAATATTTCCTTACTTTACATTTTTACTGCAAAATCGACTATATAGGCGGCGGGATGTTTCTAGTAAATCACTGTGCATTGCAAAAGTGAACGCTTTTACTTGGACATCAATTGAAAACCCGAACAAGAATGAACAAACTTTTGTTTTTCCTTGTCTGCCTGTTCCTGACATTGGGACTAAGTAGCACAACACGTGTTCCTGTGGTAGAACCGGAGATTATAGTCAAAAAAGTTTGTCCGCTCGGTGATCCAGAAAGATGCCGCCGTATCCGCCAAGGTTAAATACAAATTCTGTTAAATAAAAATGAACTGATTGCATTTCTTGTAATCGTATAGTTCATTTGTTAATAAATGTTGTTAATAAAACATACATTTGTATAAAGACAGACTTAAATGAAAAAGTTCTTACTTACTTACATTAATATGAAAGGATTGTTAATTTTATAAGGGGTATAAGGGGACATGGTCTTACTTTTGGTCTTCATTGTTGTCTGACTTTGTGTTTAAACTGGATTATGCCATTTTGTAAGTAAGCATACATATTCGTGGTCAGCA